CCAATTTGTATTTCTTAATCCCTTCACTTTTTCGCCCATCCCCCCCAACACCCCTCCCATCCAATAACCATCAAAAAGTTCTCTGTATCTGTGAGTCTGTTTTGTTCTGCTTGTCCATTTTGTTTGTAGATTCAATTGTTGATAGATATGTATTCATTTTATTGTTCATATTTTTGTTCTTCTTTTTCTTCAAGGAGACCCTTCAACATTTCATATAATACTGGTTTGGTGGTGATGAACTTGAGCTTTTTCTTGTCTGGGAAACTCTTTATATGTCCTTTGATTCTAAATGACAGCTTTGCAAGATAGAGTAATCTTGGTTGTAGGTCCTTACTTTTTTTCATCACTCTGAATATCTCTTGCCACTCCCTTCTGGCCTGCAAAGTTTCTTTTGAGAAATCAGCTGACAGTTTTATGAAAGCTCCTTTGTAGGTAACTAACTGCTTTTCTCTGCTGCTTTTAAGATTTTCTCCTTGGCCCTGGCCAGTGGTTAGAGCCTTGGCCTGCCGACCAAAGAGTTGCAGGTTCGAGTCCAGTCAAGGGCACATACCTTGGTTGCGGTTTGTCCCCAGTTGATGTGGCTCTATCACATCAATGTTTCTCTCTGTCTCTCTCTCTCCCCCTCCCTCCCACTCTATCTGATGATAAATTGAAAAAGTATCCTTGGGTGAGAAATTTAAAAAAAAAAAGGTTCTCTCGGGGTTTTTTGGTTCACTTTTTCTTTTTTTAATTTATTTTTAATCTTTATTGTTGAATGTATTACAGATGTTCCTCATTTTCCCCCCATTGACCCCCTCCTCCCCGCTCCCGACCCCCTCCCACCTTTTCCCACACTATTGTCTGTGTCCATTGGTTATGCATATAAGTTCTTCGGTTTATTTCTTCCCACCCCCCCAACCCCTTTCCCTTTGAGGTTTGTCAGTCTAGCAATGAATTTGTACTTCTTAATCCCTTCACCATTTTCACCCATTCCCCTAACCCCCCTCCCATCTGGCAACCAACAAAATGTTTTCTGTATCTATGAGAATGTTTCTGTTCTGCCTGTTCATTTTGTTTGTAGATTCCATTGTTGATAGATATGTATTCATTGCCATTTTGTTTGTTCATATATTTTATCTTTTTCTTCAAAAAGACCCTTCATCATTTCATATAATAACGGTTTGGTGGTGATGAACTCCTTTAGTTTTTCCTTGTCTGGGAAACTCTTTATATGGCCATCGATTCTAAATGACAGCTTTGCATGATAGAGTTATCTTGGTTGTAGGTTCTTGCTTTTCATCACTCTGAATATTTCTTGCCACTCCCTTCTGGCCTGCAAAGTTTCTTTTGAGAAATCAGCTGACAGCCTTATGGGAACTCCCTTATAGGTAACTAACTGCTTTTCTCTTGCTGCTTTTAAGATTCTCTTTGTCTTGAACCTTTTGCATTTTGATGATGATATGTCTTGGTGTGGGCCTCTTGGGGTTCATCTTGTTTGGGACTCTCTGTGCTTCCTGGACTTGTATGTCTGTTTTCTTCACCAAGTTAGGAAAGTTTTCTGCCATTATTATTTCAAACAGGTTTTCAATTTTTTGTTCTCTCTCTTCTCCTTCTGGCACCCCCAAGATGCGAATGTTGGCACTCTTGAAGTTGTCCCAGAGGCTCCTTACACTATCCTCATTTGTTTGGATTCTTTTTTCTTTTTGCTGTTCTGATTGGGCATTTTTTGCTTCCTTATATTCCAAATCAATGGTTTGCTTCTTGGATTTACGTACTCTACTATTGAATCTGTGTAAATTACTCTTTATTTCAGTTAATGCCTCCTTCACTTCTGACTGCATCCATCATTTCTGACTGGTCCCTTTTTATGCTCTTGAGGCCCTCACTGAGTTCATTGAGCATCCTTATAAGCAGTATTTTGAACTCAGCATCTGTTAGGTTGCTTATCTCCATTTCGCTTAGTTCTTTTCTTGGGGTTTTGTTCTGTTCTTTCATTTGGGACCTGTTTCTTTGTCTCCTCATTTTGGCTGCCTCCCTGTGTTTGTTTCTGTGTACTACTTAATGAGAGGTATGGGGCTGAGACCAGATGCTGCTTGTTTAAAGAATTTAGGAAAACCTGAAGCAGGATCCAAGACAGGCCAATCCTATGGTTAAGCAACTGGCAACAGCTTGGGGGAGCCTCAAAGTTGGGTGGGGCGGGGCGGGGCAGGGCCTCAGGGAATCACCAGGGCAGGGCAACCAGTGTGAGCCAGGTTGCTGGAGACCCAGCTATGGCAGCTGTCTGCCGCCCCAGGGAAGAGCTCACCAAAGGAACAAAGGCCTCTGACAGCACATTTGTCCCAGAGAAAGCCCCCTCTCCAGCCCTCACTCCAGCACCAAAGTGTCTCTGGCGCCCCTCGGGCTGCCTCCCCTCCAAGCTTAGAGAGAGTGAGTCCGATAAGTTCGTGTGCGGGCCCTTTAAGAGGAGCTGCCTGGGGCTCCAGCCGCCTCAGTCTCCCTGAGCCTCAGTTCCCGCTGGTTTTTCCAGCCAGAAGTGATGGGAACTTCTCTTCCTGGCACTGGAACCCTGAGCAGGTGCCTGGTGTGAGACGGGGACCCCTCAGTCCTCAGGGAGGACCTTCCCAGCCAAGGTGTCCTCCTGATTTTTATCCGCCACACGTGGGTGTGGGACCAGCCTGTCCCCTCTGCCCCTCCTACCAGTCTGGATGTGGCTGCTACTTCAATTCCGTAGTTGTAGGACTGCCATTCAGCTGAATTTCAGGTGGTTTTGAATGATGGTTGTTCTGTAGTTTAGTTGTAATTTTGATGTGGTTGCGAGAGGACATGATACTGCATTTACCTACCCGCCCTCTTGACCAGAAGTCTCTCTCATTGTTTTTAAGCTTTTGCATTTTGATGATGATGTGTCTTGGTGTGGGGCCCTTGGAGTTCATCTTGTTTGGGACTCTCTGTGCTTCCTGGACTTGTATGTCTGCTTCCTTCATCAAGTTAGGGAAGTTTTCTGTCATTTTTTCAAATAGGTTTTCAATTTCTTGTTCTCTCTCTTCTTCTGGCACCCCTGTTACGCGAATGTTGGCACGCTTGAAGTTGTCCCAGAGGCTCCTTCACTATCCTCATTTTGGGGGATTCTTTTTTTCTTTTTTTCTTTTTGCTGCTCTGATTGGATGATTGATTTTTGCTTTCTTATATTCCAAATCGATGGTTTGCTTCTTGGCTTTACCTACTCTACTATTGATTCCCTGTAAATTATTCTTTATTTCAGTTAGTACATCCTTTATTTCTGACTAGTCCTTTATTATGCTCTTGAGGTCCTCACTAAATTCCTTGAGCGTCCTTATAACCAGTGTTTTGAACTCTGCATCTGTTTGATTGCTTATCTCCATTTTGTTTAGTTCTTTTCTTGGACTTTTGTTCTGTTCTTTTGTCTGGGACATGTTTCTTTGTCTCCGCATTTTGGCTGCCTCCCTGTGCTTGTTTCTATGCATTAGGTAGAGTTGCTATGTCTCCTAGGCTTCCTAGGGTGGCCTATTGTAGTAGGTGTCCTGTAGGGTCCAATGGCACAGCTCCCTAATCACCGCAGCTGTGCCCTCAGGCACACCCCCCCCCCCTCATGTGGACTGTCCACCCTTCTGTTGTAATTGAGTCTTGATTGCTCTTGGCACGTCAATGGGAGGGATTTACTCAGGCTGATCAGCTTCAAGGACCGGCTATGCCCACTGACCTCTGACTGTCTTGAAGGATCAGCTGTGTAGGGCCCACCACATAGAGCAAGACTTACTTCAGCAGGGCTCTGGTACCCACTGAGTTTACTCCTTGAGTGTGTCACTTGTGGAGGTGGTTGGGTGGTGGTGCTTTGCCATGGTCTAAATCTGTCCACTGGGTGTGCTGGCTCTGGGGCAAAGTCAACCACTGCCTGTGTTCTACCCGGGGCCACCAGGCATAAGCTACAAAGTGATCTGCAGATGGCTGCTTCTTGTGTTGGCTTGGAGGTGCCCAGGCAATGCCAAGTTGTGAACCAAGGTGGCTCTTCTTGTGCCAGGCCTGCGGCCATTTAACAAGAGGTATGGGGCTCGCTGAGACCAGATGCTGCTTGTTTGAGAGAAATTAGAAAAATCTGAAGTGGAGCCAAGACAGGCCATTCCCATGGTAAAGCCTGGAAACAGCTTGGGTGGGCCTGAAAGTTGGGTGGGCAGGGCCTCAGGGAGTCACCAGTTCGGAGCAAACTGTGAGCCTGGTTGCTGGAGTCCTAGATATGGCGCCCCTCTGCAGGCCCCGTGGGGGAAGGGCTCACCAAAGGATCAGTGGCCTCTGTCAGCACTTCTGTCTGGGAGAGAGCTGTCCTATAGCTCCTACCCTGATGCCAAACCTCTCAGGTCTTCCCGAACGTCTCTGGTGCCTTTCAAGCTGCCTCCCCCACGCTGGTGCCAGTCTCAATGTGGCTTCCTTAATTTCATAGTTGTAGGATTTTCACTGGGCTCGATTTCAGGCGGTTGTGAATGATGGTTGTTCTGTAGTTTGGTTGTAGTTTTGATGTTGTGGGAGGAGGCAAGTGCTGCATTTACCTACCCGCCATCTTGACTGGAAGTCTGGTGAAACTAAGTTTACTAATGTTTTATTTAGCCCAAATATATCAAAAGATATATATCTAATATCAATACTATTATTCCAACATGTAATCAATATAATATTATTACCGAAGTGTTTTAGTCTTGTTTGGCACTAGCCTCACCCTTGGTGCACGTTCCAGCACGTCTGCGTTTGGACCGGCTGCACTGCAGGTGTGCCCGCCACGCGTGGCGTGTGGCTGCGTGTCGGGCAGCACAGCTACAAGTAGTTGCATTAGCGACATAATTCTGACCAGACTCTTGAGTCACTGGGGGCAGGACTTCGTGCACCCACAAAACCTTGCACCTAGCAGCCAAATAGATGCCCCATGAAGGAATAAATGAATGAATGGATCTAGTTTTCCCTGACAGCGGCTGACGGAGATCACACCTACTCCCAGGAGTCTCAGCCTCAGTCAGACCCTGATCGGGAGCTCCTGGCCCCACTTCAAAGCATGGACCTTGAGGTACAGCAGGTAATGGGGGAGAGGGAGTGGCAGAGGATGCATGCTGGACCTCTGGGATGCCCAAACCTGCTGGAGGAGGGCTCTGTGGTCCCCTGGGCTGGATTTGGGGTGGCAGTGTGTGTATGTGTGCGCGCATGAGTGTGCAGATGGTCTCTGACTCTGCCCGTGGTTGTAGAGGGAGCAGGACAGTCGGGACGTCGTGTGTGGCATCTGCATGGACAAGGTGTGGGACAAGCCAGAGGCCAAGCGGATCTTCGGCATCCTGCCCAACTGCACTCACGCCCACTGCCTGGGCTGTCTGCGCACCTGGCGGAAGAACCGCCAAAACTTCCCGCTGGATGTCATCAAGTCAGTGTCATGGAAAGGCCAGCAGGGAGGGCGAGAACTGCCCCAGAGGGACTTGGGCTTCAAGGCCAGCCCGTGAGTTTTTACTGTTCCCCCACCTCGCAGGGCCTGTCCCCAGTGTCGTGTGCATTCCAGCTACATTATCCCCAGCAAATTCTGGGTGAGCAAGGGGGCTGAGAAGGAGCAACTCATCAGGAACTTCAAAGCTCGAACTAGGTGAGGCTGGAAGGGGTGATAGGTTTAGGGAAGAGGGGAGGACAGCCCCTAATCCATTCTGTCTCAGCCATGGTTCCCCACCCAGGATCCCCCAAATCCTGGAGGTTCAGAGTGATGGAGATGGCAGGTGAGGATCTGAGCTATTTCCATTATTTCTGAAAGCCCAGTGAATAAAGTCCTGTCTTGAGTGACCATATAGCAGCAGAAGAGCAAGGTCAAGCCCTGGCTGGTTTGGCTCAGCGGTTAGAGCGTTGGCCTGCGGTCCAGAGAGACCTGGGTTTGGCTCCCGCTAAGGGCACATACCTTTGTTGCAGTTTGTCCCTGGCCCTGGTTGGGTTGTGTGGGTGGCAACCACTCGATGTGTCCCTTTTATGTCGATGTTACTCTCTCTCTCTCCCACTCTATCTGAACAAAATATTGAAAAATGTCCTCGGGTGAGGATAAAAAATAAATAAAAGAGCAAGGTCAAATTTCTCTTCTAGCCTGGCTCAGGATCCATGCAGGCCAACTCCAGTTCTCTGCTTGGCTTGTTTGTTCAATTATTTATTTATTGTTGTTACAGGTGTCCCTCCTTTTTCCCCCATTGACACCCTCCTCCCTGTTCCCGTCCGTCTCCCCCTCCCCCTCCCGGTATTCTTGTCTATATCCATTGGTTATCTGCTTGGCTTTTATTTTTGATTTTTTTTAAAGCAGGAAGGTAAATGGATATAAATACATGTTGTTTGCTTAGATGATCTTTGAAAACACATGGGGTCTCTGAGGAGACTAACAGGCAACCCTTGGAGATAGGGAAAATTTGGGTAGGTTTTAATCTTTTGGCGAGGGTAGGCATTTATCCAAAATCTGGTTCTGAATTCCACCTTCCCAAAGGGTTCATTCCACTTGCAATAATATGCAAAGTATATTTGGATAAAGGGTGAGATCAAGAAGGTCTTGTCGACCTGTGAGACATTCCGCCTTGTTGGGAGGACACCCGCATTTTGCCTGAGAGCTATAATAGCTGCGTCAACCAAGCTATTGACACAAACTTGGGTGAGTCTCAGAGGGGACGTGTCTGAGCTGCTGCTGCGAGGAGCAGGGCCTCAGGAGGAAACGGTCCCCGTGGGAGACACGGCAGCGGGGATACCAGTGGGGGTCCCCAGAGGGGAGCCCCCAGGCCCCGGTACGAGCGAGGATGATGTAAATGGAGGGTTATTATGTATGACAGACTTTGCACCCCATTAACTCCATGAAGTGGGGACTCTTACTGTCCTTACACTGAGGGAGAAAGTGGGTCTGACCCCAGTATTCCGACTCAGCACGTGCTAGAAGGAGTTGGGGGGTGGGTACTGACCTGAGAGGAAGAAGGGCCAGACCTGGGTGGCCGACTAACCATGAGGTTGAAAGAAAAATGTAAGATGACTGTTTCCAGCGCTGATGACCGCGGGCTGCCACCGTCACCGGATCTGGGTGAGGAAAGCCAAGGGGGATTTGGACAGGTCGAAAGTGGGTCTACCAAGGCGACTGAGACTGAGCCGGAGCGTCCCGACACTAGCTTGGTCAAATGGGAGGAGGTGGAGGCCGAGGCAGAGGGACGGCCACTAAGTGGGTTCCCAGGCTTCCCGCTCGGTGGCTGGTGAGTCCTGCTCTCACACTGGGACCAGAGGCAGTGGGGAGGACTCAGCTGGGTTGGAATCAAGCAGGTGATAATGCAGGAAAAAGGCTCCAGACAGGTGCTCTCTCCCTCTGGTCCAGCTTTCTCGCAAGAAGAAAGCTGGTCTTATGTACATGGATCACAAGTTGCCGGCGACTCCCTGCTGTATCAAACCTTTCCCCAAATTTGAAATCTCAGAACTGGGAAACTTCTTAATCAATTTCATTAACTAGCAATTACCAAATCATAAGACTAACCCTCAGCACATAACATTGTACTAACTTGGTGACAGAGACACATTTTAGGGTTGTCGCCCCCCCCCAAAACAGTTCAAAGGAAATTCTCAGTGTCTTTGCCCCAAGTCCCCACTGTGGGGTTTAGAGAAAGGCGCCCCTTGAGACTTGACTGCCATCTGCTGGAAGACAGTTGTATTAAGTGTAAAATCAAAACTAGGACGCTGGTAGTGCCTGCCTTTGTGCTCTACAACCTGCTAAACCTTGTGTGTCAGCCCCTTGTTCCTGGGGCCACAGGGCTTGAAGGCGACAGTCTTCTCTCCTCCTGTCCTCTCGTCTCATAGACAGATCCCATGCCGGTTCTTCATTCGGGGGAACGGCCGCTGCCCCTTCAAGTCTGACTGCATTTACCTCCACCAGCTCCCGGAGAAGGCCCCGTCCTCGGATCCTCCCTGCCCTGAAACTATACAGCTGGCCTCTGGGAGTGAGGTGGTACCCGCAGGGATATGGGGGTGGGGGAGGCTGCTGGTCATGGTTTATAACAAATGTCTGTGACAAATGTAAAACCTGCATGATGTCTATGACGTTAATGGAGCCCGCTTAAATGGGGCACCTTTGTGCTATGTGCCACCTGCCCAATCTTATGTGTGAGCCCAATTCCCTTGTTCCTGAATCAATTAGGGTTGAAGCAGATAGCTTTTCACTGATTTCTCTCTCTCCTCCCAGGTGCTGGGCCCAACGGCGTTGCTAGAGGATGAGATGTTCCCGGATTATAACCTGGCCATGGCCTTCTGGGGTTTAGAACTCCTGCTGGATCCCAACAGTTCTTACCACAGTCTCCTGTAGCCAGGATCAGTGTGTGAGGGTGGGGCTGAGGGGCAGGGTCTGTAGGTGGTAGGTCTTTTCCCTTTTGGGGTTTGGTCTGGGATGAACATAGCCCTCTCTCCATCTCCATGAACATGAGAAACAGGGAGGGCTCTGGGGAAAAGGGAAGGGTTCTCACTCTCCTACTAGGGACTTGGATTTTAACTTTGCTCTTTTGTAGAAGGATTCTGAATGAAAACCAATAAAATGCACCGAAGCCATCATTGCTGGTGTCTAAAGACTGTCTGCTTATAGCCCAGGTGCCCCACCCCCACCCCAACCAAAGTGTCTTCTGCATTCAGTCTGCTGCAGTATCACCCAGCAGACTGGAAAACTTCACTTAACATTCATAAGAGGATGAGTGGAAAGGGCAAATAATATCTTAGTAGTATGAAAATAGTAAGTCACAGATCCCATAAAAGTGTACACAGGATCCCCCCAGGGTTCCTGAATCACACTTAGAACTTACCTCCCTGCCCTCCTTGCATTGGTGAGAATGCAGACCTTGGTGGGCACAAACTAGAGCCACCACGAAGCAAAGTGGTCGTTGAGGATGCACAAGGCACTGGAGGCTGTTTCACATTCTTGGCTCTGCCCACGACTTGTCAGGGCCTGCCCCCAAACAGCTGGTCATTTGAAGACCAGATACATCTCCTATAAAGTTATAATTGCTAACCTGAGATAGAGGTGCCTGGACTTTTTTTTTTTTGCTGCTATTTTGGCCTTTGTGAAACAGATACTATCTAAGAAATACTCCTTAGTCTTTTCCAGTAGCATCCTTGAAATTACTTGGGAAAAAATTAAAATTTTGTAATCCATTAGTAATCACATCCAGTTCAAAATATTCCTGCCCTGGCCAGTTGCTCAGTGGTTAGAGCATTGGCCCGTGGACCAGAGAGTCCCAGGTTCGGTTCCCGCTAAGGGCATGTACCTCGGTTGCAGTCCCCGGCCCCAGTTGGGGTCATGCGGGTGAAGTCATTAGATGTGTCCTTCTCACATAGATGTTTCTCTCTCTTTCTCCCTCTCTCCCTGCCGCTCTACCTGAAGATAAACGAAAAATGAGTCCTCGGGTGAGGATAAAAAAAAAATTATATATATATTCCTGTGGCTTTCCATACTATTCAGAGGAAAAGCCAAGGTTCTCTCTATGACCTCAAAACCTCAGAAACCCTGGCTGGTGTGGCTCATTTGGTTGGAGTGTCTTCCCATGCACCAAAATGTGGCAGGTTCAATTCCCAGTCAGAGCACATACTTGGGTTGCAGATTCGATCCCCTGTTGGAGCATGTAGGGGAAGCAACTGGACAATGTTTCTCTCTTACACTGATGTTTCTCTCTTTCCTTCTCTCTCTAAAAGGAAAACATGGGTGAGAATACCAAAAAAAAAAAAAAGGAAAAAACTCGTAAGCTCTGGTTATTTCTCTAATCTCATCTATTACTCCCCAGCAAGTACACCCTGCTGTAGCCACACTTCTGCCCCAGGGCCTTTGTATTTGCTCTTCTTCTGTCTGAAACAGCCTCCCCCCAGACTTCTACCTGATGACCTATTTCAAATGACCTCTCCCGGAAGCATTAGAGATCTTGTTCCCTGGTACATATCGTCACTTGGGCTCAAATAAACTCATAAAAATTGTAAAAAAAAAAATAATAATAACCTCTCCCTTCCCTGCTATATTCTTCTGAAAAGCACTATTACAATCCAACTTTTTATTATTTAGTTATTCAGTTATCTGTCTCTCCTCACTTGAGTGTCAGCAACAATGTGAGCAAGGATCTTTGTTTTGTTCCCTGTATCCTCAGCCCTAAATGCACAGGGAAGATTTATTGAATGATTGGATGTGTGTGTGGCAGCAGAAGTTTAGAGGATGGAAAATACAAGCTGACACCCTAAGTAGGGCTTATGGGGTGCTGTGGGGCTCTTCTCCCCTCTCCCTTTATTCTTAACCTCTACAGTGATCCCCCCTGAAGGGGTTCTGGGATCCAATTCCAATGTGCGATGTGTGGAAGTTTCCCCACACCAGCAAGCAATTCTCGGACAATAGCAGAGTCTGAGAATTCACCTCAATTCTGACACCATCTACATGGAGGTAGAATCAGAGTCCACAGGTAAAGGGCTCAGCCCCACAGACCCTCCACTTCAGAGGACAGTCGAACAAGCCCAAGTTGTTATTTGTGCTTCTGATCCACTGGCTTCACATTAGAGAGCCCCATGACCCCATTCCTTGCTTTCAATTATTTTGCTGCTAGCACTGCTCGCAAGTCTCAAGAAAAACCGTAAACTCACTAGATTTATTAGCAAGGATATGAAGAATATGAATCTGCCCTGGTTGGTTTGGCTCAGTGATTAGAGTGTTGCGCTGGAGACCAATGAGTCACGGGTTCAATTCTGGTCAAGGGCACATACCTCAGTTGCAGTTTGTCCCCAGCCCTGGTTGGGGTCGTGCAGGAGGCAACCAGTCGATGGGTGCCTCTCACATCGATATTTCTCTCTCTCTCCCTCTCTCTCCCTGCATCCCACTCTATCTGAAGATAAACAGAAAAATATCCTTGGGTGAGGATTAAAAAGAAAAAGGAAAAGAATATGAATCAACAAACAGGTGAAGAGAGACATAGAATGAGGTCCCAAAGGAAGGACCTCTGTTCTCCTGCAGTTTGGGGCCCAGCAAGGTGAAAGTTCTGGGGCCTCAATGTGGAAGTTCATGGAAAGAGGCCCGGGAGGTATTCTTTTTTTGGGTTTTTGTGGAGGCTTCATTAGGTAGTCATAAATGACTAACTCACTGGCCACTGGTGATCTATTGGACCTAAAGAACCCCACCTTTCCCTCCCTGGGAATCAGGAGGTGGAATTGAAAGTTTGTTTTATACTATGATTGGCTTCTAGTGGATGGGATCCAAAAGTCACCTCTTTAACATAACCAGAGAAACCTTTGTTGCTCTTGTCACTTAGGAAATTCGGAGAGATTTGGGAGCTGTAAATCAGGAACCAAATATGTCTGACCAATATATTTCAGTCATCTGAATGACCAAATATATATACATATACATATTTCTTTTTTTATATGTTTTTATTGATTTTTTAGAGAGAGAGATAGAAACATCGATGTGACAAACATCCCTTGGCTGCCTCCTGCACGCCCCTACTGGGGATCGAGCCCCCAACCCGGGCATGTGCCCCGACGGGGAATGGAACCGGAACCTCTGTCCATGGGGTGACGCTCAATCCACTGAGCCACACCAGCGGGGCTACATTAGTTTCTTATAAATCACAATATTGCACCTCCCTCTGCCAGAAGCCTGCCTCCTCCACTGATTTCCTTCAACTGAAACCCTGGGAGGTGGAGCCACCCTGGCCCCTAGTAAACAATCAGAGCAAGGCTGCTGCTGCTCTTGAGGAGGAAGTTCCAAGCAAAGCCTTTGGCCATATAGAGGGCGCTGGCTTTTACTGCGACCCCATTTTCAGGGATATTTGTACATCACATATTTCTGGAGAGGGCTGAAACCCGAATGATGGGAGTTGATGGTCTGAAGCAGGTGACGTATTGGTGGTAAATTGTGATCAAATCCTATCGCAAAGCCCATGCTCTACAAGCAACATGGGCGTCAGCTAGAATTAAATGATGCTTGGATCCTGAAGTACAACAGGATCTCTCACATCCATTCTGCACCCCGGTCCTCCTACTTCCCAGAGCAGTGGAGGAAGGTTAAGGACAGGAGCCGAGGATCCGCCCCTCCACGAAGCCCCGCCCACCCGCCATCTCTGGTGTGACCCCGCCCACCCACAAACCCGCTAGGTTGGGCCCCGCCCCTTCCAGGGACACGCGCTTGGCCTTAGCTCGCTCCCCTACTCCGTTCCTCGGACTCTCGGACTGGCCCCGCCCCTTCCGGTCTGCCCTAGCGCGCGCCCCGCCCCGCGCCCCGGCGCGCCTCTTTCAGACCCTTCCTTTACGGACCGCACGCGTCTCTCGGGTGCCGGGCCTCGGGGCCACTTGTGAGCCCTGAGGAGGGAATGTGGCGGGCGGGGGAGGGTGTCCGCCGCGGCGTCCGGGCGAATACTGGAGTCCTTCTGTGTTTCTCCAGGCCTCGGAGCTGATGTCCGAAACAGAGCGGAGGTGAGGGCGAAGCGGGCCCCGGGCATGGCAGCCCCCGAGGAGGCGCCCGCACTGACTGAGAGCGCGGAACCCGCACCCTGGGCTCAGCTGGAAGCTCCCGCCCGCCTGCTGCTGCAGGCGCTGCAGGCGGGGCCGGACGGGGCGCGGCGCGGCCTGGGGGTGCTGCGGGCGCTGGGCAGCCGCGGCGGGGAGCCCTTCGCCTGGGGCCCGGTCCTGGAGGCGCTGAGTCGGGAGGAGCCGGTCACCGAGGGCCCAGACTGTCGGCTGCGGCTGTAAGTAGCGCCGGGCGCCGCATTTCATCTTCCACGGTTCCGCGAGGCAGCTGGCACGTCCCCTTCGGGCAGGAGCCCCGGGCTGGGAGAGGGTAATTAACGCCCCGCAGCGAGGGGGTCCCTGCCGCGCGCCTGGCGGTACTTAGAGTACCTACTGTGGGCCGGCCAGTGTCCCCTGCCTGGACGTAAGACACGCCTTCGGCTGGCTGTAAATGAATAATGGTATGTCAGTGGACTCTATCGATTTTTTAAAAAACCCTCACCTATATAGGTTTGAGGGGGAGAGGAAGGGAGAGAGAGCAACATCGACTGGCTGCCTCCTGTTCACCCTGATCAGGACCAGCGGGCAACCTAGGTATGTGCTCTGACCGGGAGCGGAACCGCCACCTTTTGGTGTATGGGAGGAGCTCCAACCAACTGAGCCACCCAAGTAGATTTTTTTTTTTAATCCTCACCAGAGGACATTTTTCCATTTCTTGTTCAGATTGAGCGGGAGGGAGGGAGAGAGAGAGAAACATCGGTGTGAAAGGGACACATCGAGTGGCCGCTACCCACAAGACCCTGCCGGGGACAAACTGCAACCGAGATATGTGCCCTTAGCGGGAACGAACCAGGGTTTCTCTGGACCGCAGGCCAGGCTCTAACCGCTGAGCCAAACCGGCCAGGGCCACCCAAGTAGATTTTGATAGCATATTCCATCAATAAAAATATCAAGCACTGGCCGGTTTGACCCAGTGGTAGAGCGTCGGCCTGCAGACCAGTGAGCCTCGAGTTGGATTCCAGCCAAGGGCACAGACCTCGGTTGCGGTTTGTCCTGGCCCTGGCCGGGTCATGGGGGAGGCAACCAGTCCATCTATCTCTCTCCCTCTCCCTCCCTACCACTCTGTCAACAGAAAAATATCTTTGGGTGAGGATTAAAAATAATAATAAAAATATTGAACTTGTACCTTCAGTATAGGCATACTTATGTATAAAGTGTGCGTATATGTTAAAATACATTATAAAGTATACAAAAATTAAAATTTAAAATGAGATAAATGCCAATAAACATCTGGTTGTGGGGGCTTTATATTATCAATATTTCAAAGCATAACATACATTTTAGGGCAAGGTCACTTCCCTTAAGGATGTTAAGGTTGGTGTTCTTGATCATTTCTAGATTCATTTCAATTAATTTTGGGTGAATTTGACCCCCCCCCCCTTTATGTGGCTGACTATTCCTACTAGGAGCAGAAGTGTCAGTCTTGCCACTTTCTTTTTATTTGGCTGTGCTTCTGTTATTGGTATTCATTTCAGTTTCTTTTCAGGTGTCCTTATAAGCCATGTGTCCTGTTCGTGAGGGTTCTGTTTTCTTAAAAAAAGATAATACTGTATTCATAAATGCACTTAACAATCACAGTTAACTAAAATACTCAGAGCCCTGGCTGGTTTGGCTCAGCACCTAAGGGTCTTGAGTTGGATTCTGGTTGAGGGCATGTACCTGGGTTGCAGTTTCCATCCCAGGGGGGGGTGTGCAGGAGGCAACCAATCGATGTGTCTCCCTTACATCGATGGTTCTCTCTTTCTCTCCCTCCCTCCCTCCCACTCTATCTGAAAATCAATGGAAAAATATCCTCGGGTGAGGATTAACTAAATAAATAAAATACACAGAAAGTTAAAAAAGTGAGTGAGGTGCCACCTGCAGCCTTTTCCACTCCCTTGGAAACCCTACTTCAGAATTAGGCTGGAGACTGGAATATGGAGGGCCAACCCATATATTAAAAATTTGTAATACTTAATTTCTTGTGTTTTACATAAGTAGAAACAAGTTATATTTTCTTCCCACACTCCACTTTGAATTTATTTCATGATTTAGATCAGGAGAAACTTCAAAACCCCCAAATTGGATGCTATAGAAATGTTTTTCCAGCTGTCTGGCTTTTTCTGGTCAGAGTAGGAAGAGGGGGTACTTAACCTAAGGTCCCTGGATAGAACTGTACTTAAGTATCATTGGTTTCTTTTGTGGTCCTATTATTATTTTATTTTATACATTTAACGCATTCTGATAAGGGGCTCCATGCACACACAAAAAGCTAAAAGCCATTTTATTTTATTTTATTTATTTTATTATTTTAATCCTCACCCGAGGACATTTTCCCATTTTTATTCAGCTAGAGTGGGAAGGAGAGAGAGAGAGAAACATCGACGTGAAAGGGACACATCGAGTGGCTGCCACCCGCATGACCCAACCAGGGCCGGGGACAAACTGCAACTGAGGTACACGCCCTTAGCGGGAACTGAACCTGGGTTTCTCTGGACTGCAGGCCGACGCTTCAACCGCTAAGCCAAACCGGCCAGGGCTAAAAGCCCTTTAAATAGGGTCTTCACCTCTCTACTCTTGACAATCCTCCACCGCAAATTGACCATCTTTTAACCTTATACTCTAGTTTTCTCTATCATTTAGTGTTTGTTTTCCACAAATAAAAGTTGTTTTTTTCTCTTCACACATATCCCAAGTACTTCTGTGTGTGATGTTGAACAGCTCTGCAAAGTTGTGTGTAGAGAGGAGCAGAGGCGAGATGGGTGGTGGGCTAGATGCACCCCAACAAACCTCGGGTCACACAACATCTGGATTGTGCCTTCACAACATTACAGACAGCTATGTTGCTTTTTCTGCAGCAGCCCTTGCTGATATCTGGACACTTGTTATTCTCAGAGTTAATTCATTCAATAAATGTGCACCAAGTCTGCTAGGAGTTGTGCTGGGTACTGGGACACAGGAAGGAGACACACTGTCTCTGTCTCTCAGGAACTCACTTTGGTGAATGGAACATCAGAGCTGGACAGATGTCACCCTGTGACTTCCAGGGGAATACCCAGTGGAACACAGGGCCACAGACAGCATTGCAAAGCATTTTGGTATATTTTTACATAAAGTTTGGGAAAGGACTTTTTCTTTTTTTGTGTAAAACAAGCATGGACCTATTATAGAGTAGTTTCAGCGTGAATTTTTTTTTTTTAATCCTCACCTGAGGATATTATTACATTTATCCTCAGACAGAGTGGGAGGGAGAGAGAGAGAAACATCAATGTGAGAGAGACACATCGACTGATTGCCACCCGCACAACCCCAACCAGGGTGGGGGATGAACTGCAACCGAGGTACATGTCCTTGGCTGGAATCAAACCTGGGACTCTGGTCTGCCGGCCGATGCTCTAACCACCAAGCCAAACTGGCCAGGGCTCCAGCGTGAATTTTTGAGCTGAAGTAGGAAATGTCAAAGAGCAGGGCCCAGCATAGAATAGATGCTCAGTGAACACTTGCTGAATGAGTCATGCTGTGCCCCCCTCCATCCACATTGACTCCTAGGGCCTCCCGTCTGTCCCTTGCCATCTAGCCTCAAGCTCTGCCCAGTCTGCCATATGTTCCTTCAATAGGACTCTTTAAAAAAAAGTTTTTTTTTCTTTATTGATTTTTTTCGAGAGAGGAAGGGAGAGAGAGAGAGAAACATCGATGAGAGAGAACATTGATTGGCCGCCTCCTGCATGCCCCCCACTGGGGATTTGGCCCACAACCTGAACCTGTGCCCTGACCAGGAATCGAACCAGTGACCTCTTGGTGCATGGGTCGATGCTCAACCACTGAGCCACACTGGCCGGGCATCAATAGGAGTCTTAACTGCTTGCCTCCCTCTGCTTCCCAGGAAACCACTGCTGCTGCGATTGCCCCAGTTATGCCAGCGGAACCTGATGTCCTTGTTGATGGCTGTTAGGCCATCACTGCCCGAAAACAGGCTGCTCCCTCTGCTGCAGATCGCACGGCAGGACACAAGCCCTGACCCCGATCCCTGGCTCCAGGCCTTGGGGGAATTGCTGCGAAGAGATCTGGGTGTTGGGGTCCCCACTGAGGGAGTGTCCCCACTGTCTAAAAGGTGCCAGAGACAGCTCCGAGACCTGTGTAGGCAGCTGGGCCCAGGGGGCAGGAAGTTGAAGTTGACCCAGTCTCCAGACCCTGAGGAGGAAAAAGAGAAGGAGGACAAGGAGGACAAGGACTCCCAGTGGCCCAGAGAACGTAGAAAGGCACCAGAAGAAGAGCCTGCTAGTCCTGAGGGGGAGAGGGCCCCCAAAAGGTTCCGGTGTTTGGAAAGGGAAGAAGAGGAAAGTCATGAGGAGAGAGCTGAACAGGAATCTTTGGAAACCCTGGCAGAGAGAGGAAGCACATTACCCATTAAGAACCAGTCTGTCTTGGGGGCTGAGCCCACTGAGACTGGTCAGAGTCTGGAGGATGCAAAGGGATCAGCTGAGAGTCTGGCGCTACCCAAAGCTATCCAGGTACTAGGGTGAGGAGGCTGGTTTCAGAGTGATCCTTTAGGAGTGAGGGGTTTGTTCAGGGCAAAAGGCTTTGGGACACTCTCCCAGTTGGGATGACTGTAGTCCATGGAGCAAGGGGCAGGAGGGTGGGGTTAAAGGAATGTAGTCTCTCCAGACTGGGGAGAGTTAGGGAAGGTGGGAAGCCCTTGGCCTCTAGTGAGCTATAACGTGAGATTAAAGAGTACCAGTCAGGAGAGGCTCCAGAGCCACCCTGCCACACCATCCTCCGGGAGTGGGGGAATGATGCCAGCGTCCAGCCTGCCCTCCCAGCGCAAGGCTGGGTCTGCCCTGTTAGGGTGGAGGCAGAGAAGACAAGTCTAGACAGCAGGATTTGTGCTACCCTTGTCTAGTTTGAGTTCTTAAGCTTTTTTTCAAGGTTTAGGCTTCATGTTCTTGGTGATCTTGAATCATCTTTGCCTCCTAGCTCCCTCTAACTTGGGGCTTTCTCAGGATAGAAGCCGGGACTGGGCTTGGGGCCACGCTGCACGTGTGGGGACTTTGCAGTGACTGGGCTCTCCTCTGCAGGATCAGGTTCCCAGGCTGCAGCAGCTGCTCAAGACCTTTGGGGAGGTGACTGGCCCTGCCCTGCTCACCATAGCCCTTCCACCTTCCTGGACCTCTGCCGTGCTCAGGGAGGCCCCGGTGCAGTGAGACCCAGGCTGTGGGTGAGGGTGGTTTGCAGTGAAGGTCTGAGGACAGTCACTGCAGGGCATCTCTGGGCCCAGGTACAGATATGTCCTCTAGTTCCTCCCTTCTGGTAGCACCTTCTGGGGTCCTCAGCAACCCAGAATTGAAGGGGTGACCTCAGTGACTTATCACCATCTGCCAACCCTGACATGGGATTTGCCTTCGCAGGGACTGCAGGGGTTGGAGGGTGCCCCCCCAGTTGAGCTGCAGCTCCTCCATGAATGCAGCTCCAGCCAGGTGAGTCCAGAAAGATTGCCTGGCCCTGAGCTCACAGCCCCCTCCCCAGCCTCTTTCCATGTAACTGTGTTTTCCTGCCTTATGTGGCATTTTGGGAGGGGATCCTGTTGGGGTTTTTTGTTCTCTCAGGCAGAGGTCATCCTGACTGGATTTTTTTCAGCCCTTGACTCCACCACATAGGGTAGATCCCCCAGTCTTTCTTCTGGGGCATCCTGCCCTTCCCTCTGCTGTCCAGTTGGATTGAGACAGGCTAAGTGTCCCTCTGCCCTCCCTCCTACTTGGCAGATGGACCTGCTATGTGCCCAGCTGCAGCTGCCCCAGCTCTCGGACACAGGTCTCCTGCAGCTCTGTACCTGGCTGCTGTCCCTTTCACCAGATCTTAGCCTCAGCAATGCCACTGTGTTAGCCAGGAGCCTCTTTCTTGGACGGGTAGGTGCACTGGGGTGCATTCAGCCTGCCAGGACAAAGGGGAGAGAGTCTGAGCCCTCAGAAGGGTGGTGCTTGGGCGAGGGTGTTCGCAGCCTTGCAGGCATCTGGCCTGTCCAGGCAGCCTGGGGCAAGGGAAGGGTATGGATCCCAGGCTATCTACCTACATGGCATCTAATTCCTCTCTGAACCTCAGACCATTCCAGTAGGATTTGGGATCCAGGATTTGGGAGCTGGGGAATGGAGCTATGTGTCCTTCCCAAGGGGTGGATCCATGTGAGCCCTAGATAAAAGAACTTTTCTTCCTTCTGTAACATATCACCATCTGAAATATGTGTCTGGTAAATGTATTGAAGGGAAGAAGAAATTAATCCAATAGTATTTTCCTCCCCGTTGGCTGTAGATTCTCTCCCTGACTTCCTCAGCCTCCCGCTTGCTCACAATTTCCCTGACTTCCTTCTGTGCCAAATATACTCACCCTGTCTGCAGAGCCCTCCTCGGCCCTGTGCTCCGGGCCCCAGAAACAGGTAATTCTGGAACCAGCCTTCTTTCGCCCCAGGGTGACCTGGTCGGCGTTGGGTATTCAGTGAATAAAACCTGTACTTCCCTGCCGATGCCCCTGGAATGAACTGAGCATTCTGTAGTCCCATCCTCATTTCCCAATTTCTCCCTCTACTGTCCTCCGCCCAGGTCCAGCTCAAACAGAATTACTGTGCTGCCTTATGAAGGACAAGGCCCTGGAGCCAGACAAGCAGGTTCTACTGCTGGGGTGAGTGCACAGGCCTCCATGCCCCCGCTCCCACCTCCTCCCCTTGGCCAAGCCTGTTCCTGTCATTCTGGAGTTGGAGCCATCTGGGCACCAGGCCCTATGCCCGGAAGACAGGAAGTGCCCCCCTCTCACTGTTGTCTGAACCTGGCTTGTGCCTTCCCACCTGGGCCTGTGCAGGATGCCATCCCGCGCCCTTTCCCCAGCCCGGGGTTTCAGTCCTCCACGCCAGGTGCCTTGCGGAGTGTGGAGGAAGGGCTGGTGGTCCCGGCTCCTGAGTAGTTCACAGCAGAGTTGGAGATTGGCACCGCATGGCACTGCGGTTAAGAGCACTGGCTCTGGAGTCAGACGGACATGGTTTCAGATCTCAGCCTTGTTTTTTTAAAATGTGTAATTCAAAGTTAGTCCATATCTCTGAGCCTCTCAGAGCTTCTTCATGTGAAAAACGGGAGTAATATTCACTCTAGGATTTTTCTAGATATTAGATGTGATAATCCATATAAAGCCCTCAGTACAGCCCTGGCTGGTTTGCCTCAGTGGTTAGAGCGTTGGCCTGCAGACCGGAGGGTTTGATTCCAGACTAGGGCACATACCTGGGTTGCAAGTTCAATCCCTACCCTGGTGTGTCTCTCTCACATCTCAATGTCTCTCTCTCCCTCCCTTCCTCTTTCCCACCCACTCTGTCTAAAACTCAACGGAAAACTATCCTCAGGTGAGAATTTTAAAAATTAAAAAAGCAAAACCTCAGCACAGTTTTTGGCACTTAGCAAATGCTCAGAAATTGTTATTAAGTTGGTATTAAAATTGGGGAGTCAAGAGACAGACACGTAGAAATAATGAGTAGGTAAGACCCCACTGGATACCAACATGAAATATAAAATGCTCAGTATAATATGAGAAGGGGACAGTCTCAAAAATATCAGCCACCACACCTCGAGCACTGTCCCTGCTTAGATGCATTATCCCAGTTAGTCTTTGTGCAGTCTGGTAGGTGCTGCTGCTGCCTTAAAGGTGGAGAAACAAAAGCTCAGAAAGGTTAAGGGGTGTGGCCAGAGGTCACACATCAAGCAAGTGATAAAACCTAGGATCAAACCTGAGTCTGCACCCAAGAAGCCACACTGTGTCCATGTGACAGGAAGGGCTGGAGTGGACCTTATCGGGGTTGGGCTCCACAGGAAGGCTTGCCTTCTCCAGGAAGTCTCGTGTGTGTCATCGTGCTCCCTGGGTCGCCCTCACCTTTTGTACTTGGGATATATTCTTGATTCCTGGTTATTTTTCAAGGGACCTTTGTACATCCCACTGCAAATCCTTCATTGTCAGCTCCCAGGGTCTTGGTTCTAGTCTTCCAGCACAGAGTGTGGGCTCTACAGCAATGGCTACTGGGCAGCCGGCAGCATCAGGGGGTCTCTGACTTGTTCCTCTGGTGCCTGGGACCTTGGCTGTCCCCAGGGCCTTGCCCTGTCTTGGGGTAAGAGCAGTAGATAACCCGGGCTTGGGCGGGAGGCTAGACTTTACCCACCGGGGCCTGTGCTTTGCAGACAGATCTTGGAGTTGCCCTGGAAGGAGCAGACTTTCTTGGTGTTGCAGTCACTCCTGGAGCGGCAGGTGAGCAGGCTGCCGTGGGGGAGAGTGGACAAAGAAGTGCTGCACAGCTGTGGATGGGCGTGGGGTTCCTGGGTTTCTGACCCCTTCGGTGCTGGAGGGGCAGGCAAGACGGCTACCCTACAGAGGGTGCCCTGTGAAAGTGGGAGAGTCCGGGGCGCAAAGGCTTCTAGCAGAGAGCTAAGCACATGGTAACTCCCATCTCTGCCTCTTCCTGGCTCTGTGGCCTTGGGGAAGGGACTTTCTGATGTGTGTGTATAATTTTAGTTTTATTTTTGAATAGGTAATGAATTCATATGTTTACAATTTTGGAAGCTCAAAAAGGAAATAGTGAAAAATATTCTCTCAGCTGTCCAGATGCTCCTCCCCAGGGTGAATAAGTGTTATTAGTTTCAGGGGAACCTCCCAGAGATGCTTTATATCTACAAGGACACATGTATCAATGAACTTTTCCTTTGCTTTTTACATAGATGGTAACACCAAGCTCAGTGCTCTGTATTTTGCTTTATTCACTTAATAGTATATTTTGGCAGTTTTCCCATATCAGTACCTAAAATTCTGCCTCGTCTGCTTATGACTTAGGTCTTGACCTAACCTCTTTATGCCTGTTTCCTCATCACTAAAGGGGAGTGATGATAGCACCTATCACATAAGACTGGCTGAGGTTTAAATGGGATAGCTGGTGTAAAGTGCTCAGAGTGGTGCCTGGGGCATGGCGTTTATTAAACTAGAATTATGAAGAGCTGTTGTCATGCTGGCAGTACCACTCCTGTATGTCTTCAGACGCTAAGCCAGGCCAGCGATCCTTGGCCTCCCTTGGTCCCACTCTGAGCCTTTGCAACGGTAGCCACCTGTGAGATCTGTGTGCCAGACTTTATGTGTATTTTCTCATTTAATCCTTTTCACAGTCTTCAGAGTTAGATTTTACGAGTCCCATTTTACAGATGTGGAAACTGAGGCTTAGTTTGGTTAAGTGATCTGCATAGGGTCACCTAGTTAAAAGTGGTGGAGTTGGGGATTGAATGCAAGGCCTTTTCTTGTGCTACTGTCTCATCTCCCAATGTGTGCAGGTGGAGATGACCCCTGAGAAGTTCAATGTGTTGATGGAGAGGCTCTGTAAAGAGGGGCCGGCAGCTGCTACGTCCATGGCCTATGCCAAGCTCATGCTGACAGTGATGACCAAGTATCAGGCCAATGTGAGTATAAACCACAAGTTCAAGCCCAGGACTAGGGAATGGGACTACTTAGTAGTTCACTGATCCAGCCAACACTGCTGTGGGCCACAGGCCACATGGAGAATCAACAGTGACTATGTCACAGTCCCTGTCCTTGACTTGACCCTCTCCCTAACACAGAGCTAGCGAGAAGGGAGAGAGATGATAAACAGCTCACTGTAATATCTGGTAGGATCCAGGTGAGAGGTATACACAGGGCTTTTGATAACAAAGGAAGAGTGGGCACTCGACCTTGTTTGTGGTTTTGAATTGAGACAGGCTTCCTGACTCTTAAAAAGTGAGTGGTAGTCAAGGGTCGGGATGGAGAAAAGGGCATCCAGGCAAAGGACACAGTGTAAGCAGTGAATGTCCGAGGGGTCTACACATAGTTCATTGTAGCTGAGGCCTAAAAACATGAGAGTTGATGGTGGTGAGGTTAAGGAACTAAAATACTAAGAGATAATACTTAGTCCCTGCTACATCTCAGGCACTGTTCTAAGCCCTTTGTATATGTTAACTGGCTAGTTTATTCCACCCATTAGCACTATGAGAAGATACATTACTAGCTTCATTTTATAGATAAGAAAATTGAGACTCAGGTTAAAGTAACTTGCCTAGGGTCACATTGCCAGGCCATGGTAGCATCTTATAAAGGGCCCTGTAGGATATGGTGTGGAGCTTGGACTTGATCTTGAAGGCCAGGTATTCTTGGCTGTTGGCTCTTTACCCTTTTCTTGGGAGTCACAGGCCCATTTGATGAGTCAATGAAAGCTATAGCTCCTCCCAGAAAAATGAATATATGAACACACATCTTATGAATACATATCAGGAGACTTATAAACCCTGAAAGAAGGACCTCCAATCTGAGGTCTCAGGAGTTATCCCAGGGCCTTCAGCTGGAGTGACTTGGCTGGGTTTGCATTTTATAAAGAGACCTCTGGCCTCTGTAAAGAGCGGGGATTAGAGAGTGAAGGTACAGGGTGGATACCTATCAGGAGGTTGTAGCAAAAGTTCAGAAAAGAACCCAGAGGGAAGGTGGCAGCGGCAGCGGAGTGTCTCTGAATCAGTTTCCTCTAAAAGGGGTTGTGGGATTACATGAACTAATGCACATAATGTGCTGCCGCATAGAGAGCCCCCCCATTGTTGGCTCTTATTAATGTGGCTCACTTAGGCCGGCCGGTGTGGTTTAGTGGTTGAGTGTCGACCCATGTACCAAGAGGTCGCCGGTTCGATTCCCAGTCAGGGTACATGCCCAGGTTGTGGGCCCAGTCCCCAGTGGGGGGCGTGCAGGAGGCGGCCAATCGATGTTCTCTCTTATTGATGTTTCTCTATCTCTCTCTCCCTCTCCCTTCCTCTCTAAAATCAATAAAGAAAAAAAAAATTTTTTTTTTTTAAATGTGTCTGACTTAGTAAGTTGTGTAGTTAATATCTGGCCCAGGTCCACCTGAATTCAACGACTGCTTCGCTGTGGTGAAATAATGAGGTTCGACTGCTCAGGGAGTCATTATCTCCTTCCATCATCCTTATGTCCTGGATTCCTCTCCTTTCTGAACAGAGCCCAGGGTCAGATGGGAGGGGAGGGATCAGCTACTGGAGTCCTGACATGATTCTTCCTTCTCCCTAGATCACTGAGACCCAGAGACTGGGCCTGGCCACACCCCTATCGCTCAACACCACTTTCCTGAGGAAGTCCCTGCAGGCTGCCCTGAGACATCTGGCCCCCTGACCTTCCACTAAGGGACCACTGTCCTCGAGCTCCCTCACCAGCTTCCTGAAGGTCACTTCTGCCCTCACTCTGACCCCTTTGCCTGGGGGTAAAGGCCAAGCCTAGCCGTCCCAGGCATCACCTGCCTCCCTGTTCCAGGCTGTGAAGAGGCCATCTTGACCTCCCATCCAGCGAGGAGGGTACCAGACTAAGGGGGCTGGATGAGCTGGGTTTCCAAGGGCTGCTGACCTTGGTTCACTCCTTGTCACTGCTACCTCCGGCTATGGCAACAAACTTTCCTGTAAGCCCCACTAGGGTCACAGCAGACCCAGAAGAGACAAATGATGCTCCGGGGGACCACAGATCTCATGCTCCAGTGTGTTATGATCCTCTGTATTGTTCTGACTTGAACGTTCTGTATTGTTCTGGTATTTAATAAAAGCAGGAAGTTCAGTAATGTGTTATTAGAAGCAGTGTCTGCCTTCCTATTAAGTTCAGGATATTGGTTGAAAATTAACTCACCACCACCGCCTACTACCACTCCATCCTGCTCAGTGACAAGGGGCATCTTTTTCCCAGTGAAATGTTCTGTAAGAGGAAGGTAGTAGAGTGATGAAGTTCATTTCATTCATGTTCTGTGGCTAATTAATGTGTGATACCACCCACCCCAACCCTATTAGCTGCCTGTTGAGTAGGTGAGGTGGGGAGGGGGGCTTGAAGGTGGGAGTGCCTCCCTCTGGAGTTGGGGAAGGCTTTGGGGCAGAACACATTTGAGGAGAGAGTTCTGGGGTTACCGTGGGCAGGGTAGAGAGGGTGGGGCCTGTTGAACCGGAAGGGGCAGAAAGGGTGTGCAGTACTGTGGGCATGTATGTTTTACATCTTTATATTCCCACAGCCCCTAGCAAAGAGCCTTGTTCATAGTAAACACTTAGCAGGTAGCAGAAGCAACTGTGGGGTGAAAGTTCATTACAGTACCTTTCCAGCTCTTCCCTGCAGGCTTTGAAGGGCCAAGAACACTTTATTGACGTGTCCCTTCTCACAACTCCCAGAAGCCGTCAGCCCCTCATCAGAGCAAGATAATGAGGGAATGAGGCCCGGAGTGGAGCCTGCTTTTGAGGCAGGTGCGGGGAGGACAGGAGGAAGTGGGCAAGGGAAGTGTGGGGACAAACATGCATGAATCGCCCCCTCTCAACGGCCATTACAATGCGTGTGATTGCTGAAGCTCAAGCCCTGGATCTAGCCTTTTCCTTAGCAGCCTGACAGCTGTCGACGCAAAAGGGGAAGTCTCAGGGTGCCTCGGGGCGACCCGACAGCAGCATCTCCGGTGGTCCAGGCGCCAATCTAGCGGTTCCACGCGCGGCAGCGCCCTCCAGCGGCCGCAGAGGCTCTCGGCGCTAGAGTGCCGGACGGCGCTCAGAAAGGAAGCCACAAGGCATCTCGCGAGAACAAGGTCCCTATTTGAGCGCATGCGCGAAGTTAGTTAGTCTCTTTTCCGGTCTTTGCGGCGTGAGGAATCATGAGGTGAGTGACATTTAGGATGCTATCCGTGTTCATCCACACCTGCGGACTCCCTCGTGGGGAAGGAGACCCAGCGGACGGAATCGGGGGTCCTTGCCTTTGCTTTTCTGCGGGGCATTTCTGGCCGGTCGTCCGTCTGTGGGCCCCGCGTTCAAGTTCCCGCGCCAAGCCAGGCCGCCAGTAGGGCCCCTCTTTCCTGGGCCCTGCATCTGGTTCTCGGACCCAGATCTTCCGACCTGGTGCCCGGAGGCCTCCGGGCGCTAAGTCTGAGCCCTCTGAGCTCGCCGAGGCTTGGTCCGCGGCGCCCGGCCTGAGCGCTGGTCTTGCTCCCCCCTCACAGCAGCAAAGTCTCCCGCGACACCCTGTACGAGGCGGTGCGCGAAGTCCTGCACGGGAACCAGCGCAAGCGCCGGAAGTAAGCGCGGGCCTCGGCGGGGGCGGCACTGCGGGCGCGGGGCCTCGGCGGCGGGCTGACGTGTTCCTTTCTCGAAGGTTTTTGGAGACGGTGGAGCTGCAGATCAGCCTGAAGAACTATGACCCTCAGAAGGACAAACGCTTCTCGGGCACCGTCAGGTTGGCACCGTTCTGATCCCACCCAGCCCGCAGTGCGGTGCCCCGCTCTCCCTGAGGCGCCTGTTGAGCCCGAGGGGGCAGGCGCGCGGCACTGCAGCGCCGGGTGGTGCAGGCCCCCTGCTCTGGCGGGCGCGGCTGGACGGACCCCCACCCTGGGTCTTAAAACAAGAGGGGAGGCGTGGGGAGGCCTCGGCCGAGCCCGCCGGCTAGTCTGAGGAGCCAGACTAGCTGTTGGTGGACGCGGACGCTCTGGGTAAGGCTCTGGCTGCAGCGGCCCAGACCCGTTCACCTCCCTTGCGACCCAGGCCTGGGCCTGACCTGTTCTGTCCCCCAAACGCAGGCTTAAGTCCACCCCCCGCCCCAAGTTCTCCGTGTGCGTTCTGGGGGACCAGCAGCACTGTGATGAGGCCAAGGCGGTGGACATCCCCCACATGGACATTGAGGCGCTGAAGAAACTCAACAAGAATAAGAAACTGGTCAAGAAGCTGGGTGAGTGTGGGGATGGGGCCGTGGCGGACAGGTCTCATGGGAAAATTGGTACTGATACCATTTGGGTTTTTAAATGATGAAGATAGAATTGTGACCAAAAGGATCTGTGGTTGGTTAACCTGAGTTAGCAAGGCTCTTTTTATATTTGTTTTAAGGATTGAATTGTAAAAGGGAAGGGGGCTAGGGCATGTTGCTTTCTAAACAGGTGAGATCTATTAACTAGTCAGGTGCTGGTATCTGAATTGGAATTTCTGCTTCAGGCTCCAGTTTGAATTCTTTTTAATGTCTGCATATTGCGGGTAGGAAACAGATGCCCAGTTGTCCTGATGCAGAAAGAAGGAAGGCAGGGTTAGCCAGAGTGCGTTTTCCATGGCAGCATGGATTTTGGGTCGACTTGGGCTTCTGATACCAGGTTTTATGTGAATGTTGGACCAGTAAAGGCACAAAGGGAGGAGATAAACGAGTGAAGGAAGAATTTTTAGACTTGTTACCTGGAGAGGGCAGTGTGTGCTGGGTAGGTGCCACTTCTGTGCTTGGGTCACCGAGCCGTGCTTGGAGGTCAGCCTTTCAGGGTCCTAAGCATCCGATGGCTTCCTCTCTTTACCAGCCAAGAAGTATGATGCCTTTTTGGCGTCAGAGTCTCTGATCAAGCAGATCCCACGAATCCTGGGCCCAGGCCTGAATAAGGCTGGCAAGTTCCCTTCCTTGTTGACCCACAATGAGAACATGGTGGCCAAAGTCGATGAAGTGAAATCCACAATCAAGTTCCAGATGAAGAAGGTAAGGAAGTCTGGCTGGTTGCATAGATGAAGCCATGACAATGGTGGCAGGGCCCTGGAACTTGGCCACATTCTAAGTGGGAGTCTTGATTTGCATTTCTGTACTCTGGACATGTGATTGTCACTGAGTGGGGTTGCAGCTTTACAGAGCTGAGGCCAGAGCACTGCTCATTCGGTCACTGGGAGGGGTGGACGGGCCATCTGCCTTGTGAACATTCCTACTCTTCCCATGTTCTCTTCCATCTGACCATTAACCCGATTTGACCTTCCTCCCCTCACAGGTTCTGTGTCTGGCAGTGGCTGTTGGCCACGTGAAGATGACAGACGATGAGCTTGTGTACAACATCCACTTAGCTGTCAATTTCCTGGTGTCATTGCTCAAAAAGAACTGGCAGAATGTCCGGGCTTTGTACATCAAGAGCACCATGGGCAAGCCCCAGCGTCTGTACTAGGGCACAACTTAATAAAGCACACTGCCACTACCTCTGTGTCTGTGACTCGGGGGTGGGTGCTTTGTATGTTGATATTGCATGCCACAGCATTGTGATGGGTAGTTATGCCAATACTATAAACCAGGAAAAGGGGTTCTTACCTGCCCTCAAAACTGTGCAGTTTTACTCCGATCTCTTGGGTGTTTATCACCCTTGACAGTACAGCTGCTAACCAGGACTGGAACTTTTCTAATAACCCTGAGAGGGCAGGTCAGGGCTAGGGCTCCAGCCTGTGTGCTCCTGCTGCTCACTACTGGAAAAGCTTCACCGAGAGGACATTGACTCACAACTCTCAATGCGAGGCCTGGAGTTGCCTCCTATGTATCTTACTGTGAGCGTTTTGGGTTTTTTGTTAATCCTCACCCGAGGATATTTTTGCATTGATTTTTAGACAGTGGGAAGGAGTAGGAGAAACAGATGTGAGAGACAAATCGACTGGTTGCCTCCCACACAACCCCAACCAGGGCCAGGGATTGTGCCTGCAACCCAGGTACATGCCTTTGACCCAATACCCTTCAGTCTGAGGGCTGATGCTCTTTTTTTTTTATCCTCACCCGAGGACTTTTTTAAAAATTTCAGATAGAGTGGGAGGAAGATATGGGGGGGGAGAGAGATCAGTGTGAGGGAGACAATGCATCAAGTGGTTGACATTCACACTGGCCTGGGACAAAGTGCAACCAAGATACATGCCCTTAGTGGGAACCGAACCCAATTGCTGAGCCAAACCAGTCAGGACTAAGGGTTAATGCTCTTTGCTGAGCCAGATGCCAGGGCTGGTGTTTTTTAAATCTCTAAATCATGCATTTTGGGTCTTGGTCTGTAGGATCACATTGTTAACAGATGATTAGTTTGCTAGGTGCTTCTGATGGGAGTGGTCCCCAAACCCTGAGAAATTTGCTTTCCTGGACCCAAATTGAATACCCTACGTAGGGAGATACAAGTAGAACATACGTACAATATTGTAATTCGTGGACCCTGTTCTTGTTTAGGGAAGCAAATGGGAAGAGTCCCGTTTGTAGAAACTTGCAGGCTCTGCCCTCTTCCCTGCTAAGGGAATTCTGTTGCAGTTCTTGCTTCCAGGCCCAGCTCTGGAAAAGGGGCTTGGTGTACTGGGCAATGCCTGGGATTTAACCCACTTGAATCTGCTGCATTTACCTTGGGTAAATAAAGGGGCCAGCTCATCCCACCAGTTTTTAATAGAGTTGAAAGGCTAATCCAAAGCATAAATAAAAGCTGCACCTTCTCAAAACAAGCTTTATTTAACCTTGAACTGAGAAGTGTACGAGGCTCTCACCGCAGACCTTCAGTAGTTTCTCTGCCATTAAATTAATTTGGGGGTAAAATAGCTACACTAATCAAATGACCAATGGATTTTGGTTCTCAGGGTAGGCCTAGCTTGCTCATTTCTCTGGTCTGGTATCGTATTAGGAGTCATAAAATAGGCTTCGATCGACCATGTTTAACTTGGAGTTAAGTGATCTTTATTTAGGAGTTAAGGAAGTTATAATCTTTGTAATCAAGAAAAAAAGGCAATTCTTAAAAATGGCAGGAAAATTTGTGATGATTTGGCAACTAGAGGAAAGTAATACAAAAGTAACTTACAAGTGTGAATATATTTTATTCCTTGTCTGCCACAAAGCTGCTTACGGTACAATTAAGAGAAAGAGCCATGAAGCAAGGGCATAAAATGTGGGCCCTGGCTGTACCTGTGGCGGCCACTACTGAGGGCCTTGCTGGTCACACCCTTGTAATCCCCCTCCATGAGCTAAGACCAGAAAGACATCTGCATCTGAAGTGGACCTGTCATGAGCAGTGTCGTAGTGGAGCACAGGGTTTCAGAGGTGTCTCCTGACCTCAGTGCATACGCAATGCATTGGGTGCAGCACCAGCGATGTGACTGCCTGTGGGCCGAGGTTCTCCCCACTGCTTGAGTTGGAATCCCTGGTTCTACCACTCAGGAGCCGTGTGAGCCTGTAGAGCAGGTGACAGAAGTACCTACCTGAAAGATGGTAGTACCAACTCATGCTTTGCATAGTGCCAGGCACTTAGTACTCAATAAAACAGAGCTGGGATAGCCCTGGCAAGTCTGGCTCAGCAGTTGGAGCATCGGCCCGTGGACCAGAGAGACCCGAGTTCGGTTCCTGCTAAGGGCACGTACCTCGGTTGTAGTTTGTCCCCGGCCCTGGTTGGGGTCCTGTGGGTGGCAGCCACTAGATGTGTGTCTCTCTCACATCTGTTTCTCTCTCCCTTCCGCTCTATCTGAAGATAAATGCAAAAATGTCCTCCGATGAGGAGAAAAAAATATAAAACAAAGAAAAACCCTAGCCGTGATAAAATGGCAACTTGGTATGGCCACATACATAAATGTACTGGACGTGGTAGTGTCAGTCGGGTTAGGACAGATTGAGGGGAGGCGATCCTGAGGACACCTCATCAACGTGCTAATGAATGAGAAAAATCATCACACCTTACTGCCTGAAATGAGCCAAGGAGTAAAATCCTTAAAAAGTAGTTTTGGCCCTGGCAGGTTTGGCTCAGCGGTTAGAGCCTCGGCCCTCAGAACAAAGGGTCGCGGGTTTAATTCCATTCAAGGGCATGTAGCTGGGTTGCAGGTTTGATCATCGGCCCTGGTAAGGGTGGTATGGGAGGCAACTAGTGGATGTCTCTCTCTCCTTCCCTCCTTCCCTTCTATTCTATCTAAAAATCAATGGAAAAAATATCCTCTGGTGAGGATTAACAACAAAAGTAGTTTTGGAAACTCTAAGGCAAGATAAATGGGCATGTTTTAGAACTGTTTGGGAACTTGAATCTTCCTACATTATTGATCTGAACTTGAGCTTAAATGTGCTCCACTTTATAAATCTGAGCCTTCCACACTGGGGTAAGACACTGTGAAGGCGGTGGAGGGTTACAGCAGGGGGCTCATCTCAGCAGGTGCGTGACCTTGGGCAAGTCTCTTCACTTAAAGAGACAAAGCGATTCCATCCAAGTAACTGGTCCCCCAAAGCAGAAAAACACCAAAGGTGTTTGAATTTTAGATCGTAAGACAAAATAAATGACTCTTCTGGAGAGAGAGATCGCGCAAGCGCAATAGGAAGACGGAAAAGCTCAGGGCGCGCTGGGCTCAGTCGGTGTGTGGCTTGTGGCAGCAGCGGGTGGGGAGGTCAGAGCTGGAGAGCTTTCAAGGAACCCCAGAGTCACACCTATTGACTACGAGTAGGGCTTGGGGCCCCTCAGCAAAGAGGGGGGGGGTGACACACCAGGACCCAACCTAGGCGAGCCCACCTGAAGCTGTTCCAGCCGAGGTCTGGCACACAACTGGTCACACGACTAACCCACAAACAAATAATTTTAATTTCTTTTTGAGCAGGCCTTGAGGGCGCCTGCCCTAGCCCTGTGCCACATTTATGATATACCCATCACAGCTGGATTGAAAAAATACACAAAAAATATATAATATACATTATAAAACCTAGGTTGGGTTGGAGGTGGCCTGAGCGATATGCAAACTGTGAGGACCTTCAGGAAGCTCAGGGGCGGGGCGGGGGCACAGTACTTCATATGAAACTCATAAATACCCGGAGGCCGAGCAGCCCAGGGGCCTGGGTGTCGGGAAGAGGCAGCAGGCAGGGTTAACCTTCGGTCCCAGAACTGGGTCTGGGGAGCTGTTGCTCCAGGTGGGGAACTGGAGTGGGGAAGAACCCAAGGTAGCGACACCCACCTGGGCCATGGGTCTGCCCAGAGGCTGGGACTCCATCTTCCTACCTGACCCTCCAGCCTATTTCTGAGCCAGGCCTGCCCTCAGGAGGCTGCTGGGGGTCTTGGAAAGACCTGGGCCAGGGCAGCCTGGGGAGGTCGAGCAGGAGGCTCCTGAGGCCCCTGGCTGGATTGTGGGCTGACAGAGGGTGCCCAACAAGGGCTGAGTACCTGCTGTTCCCCTTCCCTGCCTGATCAGAAACAGCTGCTCCCCATGTCGGGGGGGTCCCAATGCAGCTGGCCCAGCCCCTCAAGGTGGAACCCCCCACTCCCCGGGGCTAGTCCTCGGCAGGGAGGTAGTGTAAACCTGGGCTCTGGGGACAGGCAGCCCTGCGTGAGAACCCCAACTCTGCCCACCGGTTCCTCATCTGAGACACCGAGACCCACGCTTGCCTTGCAGGGTCTGCAGATGGCACGAGGCATGCAGGGGGCCTGGCACGCGGCAGGTGCAGACAGTGTGGGCTCCCCTCTTCTCAACATAACCCCAACTCCACACTCCCTCCTGGCCCCCGCACTCCGCCTCCCCTGCAGTCTTCCCTCGCCCACTGGTCACACTCCCCTGAGGGGCCAGTGGCCACACACACCTGAGCCCAAAGGTGTCCCCCATTCAGTTGAGGCTGGGCAGAACTGGGTGACGGTGGCTTGGTGACCCAGCCAGGCTGCCCCACCGCAGAGCCCCCCTCTCTTCTCCCACAATTAAAGCGCAGAACAGTGGCAGGGGTGTGTGTGCGGGGTAGGTGGGGAGGCCTCCTGGGTCCTGGGCCTGAGACCTGGCAGGCAGATGAATCCTCAATCCTGAACCCCCAGGGGTGCCAGGCAGGTGTCTGAGGAAGATGCTGTCCTGGATCCTGGTGGTGGGGACAGAGGGCACCCTAGTCTTTGACGAGCTTGTAGACATGGTGCTGGGCCCCATGCTCGCTGGTGGAGACTTCGAAGACAAAAGCAATGACCAGCAGGGTCTCCTGGGAGTCGCGGCTGGTGACCACCTGGGGACCAGGCAGGAAGATTCAGGCCGGCAGCACAGGGCTGAGCAGTCCCAGCTCCCCTATGGGGCTCAGTCTCTTTCTCTGAGCAATGGGTCTGGCCACCTCCGCTTTGAGCCCCTGTGCCTGAGGCTCTCCAGGGACCCCCACAGCCCTGCAGCCCCCTCACCTGCAGGATGGTGAAGTTCTCCAGGACGCTGTTCATCATGTACTTCTCGGGCAGGTGTTTCAGCTTGTGGATGAAGTTGATCATGTACTCACACATGGGCGAGCGGTGGATGCGGTACACGAAGCGCCCGTTCTCTAACCTGGCATACTCAGTCTGCAGAGAGCCTCCAAGGCATCACTCGCTGGCCTGCTCCTGGCCCCTCCCCACCCCCACCCCTGCCCCCACTCACCTCCACCTTCTCCACCACCTGCTTGCCAAAGGAGCACACCTTGGTGGAGACGCTGATGGTCATGCTATCGGCTGAGCTGTACTGGGAGCTGACCCCATAGAAGGCTCCCGGGCCCTCCTGGATGGTGCTGTTGAGGTCGGCCTGGAGGAGGGGCGGGGTGGCATTAGGTGCTGGAGGCCAGAGGGGGGCTTCCTGCCCCGCCACAGCAGCGTCCTGCCCACGCACCCACCTCCCGCACTGCCCCCAGGCCGCAGAGACAGAGGTGGTCAGTCGGGCGGCGGGTGTACTGCACATGGGGAGCAGGGCCGATGGGAGCAGGGAGGGCCAGGGCGGCTCACCCAGAACTTGACGAGGAAGAAGGCATTGGGGGGGCCCTTCTCATAGAGCTCCTTCAGTCCACCCTTTTTCTCCGGGAACTTGTCGTAGATCTGACGCACATCGACTGCCTCCAGGGGCGGGTCGGAGAAGGCAGGGTTCGTCTGGCCAATGTGCACAAACAGGTGTTTGCTGTACTGTGGGGAGGGCACAGCGCCGGGTCAGGAGAGCTCCGGAGAGCGGGCTGCCCCGCGGCTTCCCGGCCGGCCGGCGACTGAGCTGCGGCCCTGGACAGAGCCGGGGTCTCCCCCCCCTGGGCACCGAGCCGGGGTCTCCCCCCCCCCTGGCACCGAGCCGGGGTTTCCCCCCCCGGGCACCGAGCGGGGGTCTCCCCCCCCCAGGCACCGAGCCGGGGTCTCCCCCCCCCTCGGCACCGAGCGGGGGTCTCCCCCCCACCCAGGCACCGAGCCGGGGTCTCCCCCCCTGGGCACCGAGCCAGGGTCTCCCCCCCCCCCGGGCACCGAGCCGGGGTCTCCCCCCGGGCACCGAGCGGGGTCTCCCCCCCTGGGCACCGAGAGAGGGTCTCCCCGCCCTGGACAGAGCCGAGTCTCCCTGCTCTGGGCACCGAGCGGGGGTCTCCCCCCGGGCACCGAGCCGGGGTCTCCCCCCGGGCACCGAGCGGGGTCTCCCCGCCCCCAGCCGCACACATTACCGTGTCAGGGTCTCGCTGCACCTCCATGAAGGCGGAATACTCGAGGAGCCGCAGCCGGGAGGAGGCGATGGTGCGGTCCTGCCACACGGGCACAGAGGCAGCAGCTTGGGGGAGCGGGGCAAGGGGCTCGTAACCTGGGGGACAAGCCGGACGCGCGTGGGCATGGGTGCGTGCGCGGTGACGTACAGAGCTGCCCTCACCTGCCCAGAGCCTTTGTGCAAATTAGAAAGCGGAGCCCCTTCTGGGTAGGGAGCTGGGCTGAATTTTGACTCCCTGCCAGTGTCCGCTACAGGGTGCAACCTGCCTGTGTGTGGTGGCCCGGTAGTATACATCAGTGGATTTCTTTCTTTGTCACTATTAGTGGGTGTTCAAACAGAAAATACAGACACGTTAAAAAGGAAAAATAAAGAGCATCCAGCCCTAGCTGGTGTGGCTCGGTGGACGGAGCGTCCTCCCACGCACCGAGAGATCGCGGTTCAATCCCCCTCAGGGCTTGTGCCAGGGTTTCGGCTCTGTCCCCGGAGCGGGGCGAGAGGGCGGCAGCCCATGGATGTTTCTCTCTCATCAATGTTTCCTTCTCTCTCTCCCTCTCCATTCCTCTCTCGAAAATCAATAAAAACATATTTTTAAAAATTATACAAGGAATTTTATATACATGCAGTCAGTAAGTGTAATATATTGGTGGTGTGCACGTGTCGCAGAGCAATACTGTAAAAGGTAAAGGGGCTATTCCTAGTCTGTCCCGATCCCTGGCGATGCCACCCACTCCCTCCCCAGCGCAAGCGCAGGGGCCCAGGGGCGGGGCAGGTGGTGCTGGCAGCCCGGGAACTTACTGCTGAGCGTCGGCGGCAGGGGCGGCTGGATGGGGTAGGCTGGCTGTGCAAAAGGCTTGATGCTGCAGACAGGAGCACAGCCTGGTTAGAGGGTCTCCCCTTCCCTGCTGGCCTAGTCACGTGGGGTCTCGTCTGGGAGCCCACCAGGGAGCTGCCTAGCTTTTCTGCAGAAGCCGGGAAGTACATGTGGACGAGCCAATGCACAAGCTTGTTTCTTCACGCGGTCACTTTTGTGAACTCCTCCTCGTCTCACAATTGTGCACATTTACTCCAGCGTTTCCACACCCCCCTCACCAGCTGTTCTTTTTTTTGGTACGTGCCTCTAGCGGGAACCGAACCCGGGACTCTCTGGTCCGCAGGCCGACGCTCCAATCTCTGAGCCAAACCGGCCAGGGATGAACAGCTGTTCTTAAAGGGAGGGTGTGCCTCTGGGGGAAAGTCATCTCAGAATGGAAAGAACCGAGTATACCTGACTACTTGACTCGCTGACGGAGATGAATTCAGATTAACTGAGTTAAAATAATTGAAGGACAGAAGAGTGGATGAGTGGGCTGATGAATGAACGCATGAATGAATAGACAAATGCATTAGCTCTCTTGCTGGTGCTCCCCATCCCTGTTTTTGAATTAAACTTTGCTCAGCTGGCGCTGGAACCCAGCTGAGAGGGGAGTCTAGGGGGCTGCCTGGGGGGAGAAGAGGGTGTGGGCAGGATGCATACTCACTCCTGAGAGGGTCCAGGCTGCTGTCCCAGGAGAGGGGGGCTGCTCCAGAACTGCAGAGACGGGACAAGCCCAGGGGCCCCTCAGTACCCGTGGTCCTCACCACAGCCCAGCCCTGAAGGCAGTGCCTTACCCTAGCCCCCCTCCCAGGGCCCCTGTACCCGTGAGGAAGTGGAGAAGACGGCCTGGGGCAGAGGGGAAGGTGGGCTGAACTTGTTTTGTAGGACGCTGGCGGAGACGATCTGGGCAGAGGACATGGACGCCATGCTCTGGAGGGCTTTGTCCTTGGAGACTTGGTCCTAGGGAGGGGAGGGGTCACATGAGGCTTGGACCAGGCCAGAGACAGGACAAGGGCGTGCCCCAGGGCCCCACTCCCAGGCTCTCGGGATCTGGATTACAGCCCAGCTCCGCTGTGTGGGTCAGGAGAGCCTCAGCCCCTCTCTGGGCCTGTCTCCTGCGCGTACATCACCCCTCTAACCACAGTCCACGGTAAGAAATACTTTTATTTTATTCTATAACCCAACATGTACCAAAATATTTCCCCTTATCTGTGTCATGCACTGTCATATTTTCTATTCTATTTTATCAGTGGTCTCCAAGTATGGTCCCCAAACCAATAGCACCAGCATTACCCAAAAGCTTGTTAGAAATACAATTCTCAGGCCCAGCACAGACCCACTGAATCAGAAAGTCTGGGAATGAGGCCCAGAAATCTGTCTTCACAAGTCCTTCGGGCAATTCTGATACCTGCTAAAGTTTGAGAATCACTATATTTCATTTTTTAAAAATCTGTTTGCAAACCTGTTAAATTGATCTACAATCCATAATTTTAAAATCCTATATTAGGTGCTCTCCACCCAAGTCCCCTGGGGAAGGGCCATGCTACTTACCAGGTTCATGGCCTGTGAAAGAGAAAGAGAGGAAGGGTGGGTTAGAAGAGGCACACATGACAGCTATGGGGCGGGGGGTGTTGACTCTTAGCTTCCGAGGAGCCCAGGGAAGCTCAGAGGCAGCTGTGGACCTTCCCCCCACCCCACTGCCACCCAGAGGGAGTGCTTGTAAGCAGGGGGGGGGGGGCTGGACAGGGTAGGATGACGGAGGGCAGGCTGGAGACCTAGAGGGTGGACCGGGCTGGTGCCCCTTGGGTCTGTCCGTGGCCCCTGGAGCTGTGCTATAGGCATGGAGAGCTGGGTAGGAGGCCCAGTCTGCTGGGCAGCTATGGGTGAAAAAAATAATGCAGCCTACAGGGGCCCAGGCCATGAACCTCGGGCTCTGAGATCCTCAGGCACAGAGCAGCCAGGCTTGTGTCCAATGTAAGGGACAGCCACGCTCACCACAGCTCTGCCAGCCAACACCCTCCAGGGTCTCCTCCCTGCCCACCTGGAGTCCCCATGCAATTAGCAAGCAGCAATTAGGAGGAAGGAGAAAAAGGAACATGGAGAAGAAGAGAGGTGGCCTTAGTGGCCCCAGATGGTCTCCCTCTCCCTCTGTGGAGGGCTGGCTGTCCCGCTGGGCTCCTGCTGCTGTCTCGGCCCGTGTAGCCTGCAGCGGCCTTTGGGCTTCTTGCTGCTGCTTGTGTTTCCGAGACTCCTCCACACCCACTAGCTCCTCAGCCCCTCTACCCCGAGCTGGGGTTGGGGAGCAGCAACAGGCCTAGGCAGGGCCAGGCAAGTGGCAAGGGACCCCATACCTTCAGCTTGGACTGAATCTCCCGAGATTTCCGCCTGGCTAGAACCTGCAAGTGGCTAGAGACCTGTAGAGAGAGAGAGAGAGAGAGAGAAAGAAAAAAGCAGAAAGAGTGGAAGGAGAAGCGAGAACAGAGCTCCAGCCAGGAAAGAGGCCAAGGCCGAGGCCCGAGCCATGCAGAGACGGTGGTGGAGGCGCCGGGGGGAGGGCCCAGGAGGGGCTGTAGGCCGAGCCAGGCGCCCAACATACCTTGATGCCAACCTGGTATTCCCGCACCTTCTTCCGAGCTAGAACCTGTATGTGGCTGGACACCTAGGGGCCGCCCCGCGCCCGGCCAGAGAGGAAAACAGACAGTGAGGAGGCACAGCATGGGGTGGCCACGAGGCAGGAGCAGCCGGCCCTCATCTCTGGGAACAAAGGTAAGTGGGGCAACTCTAGGGCCCCTGTGGGCAGACACTCCGCAGCCCTGACAATTCTGCTTTCTTCTCGACTCTGCTTTGACCAGGAGCCTACAGTGGCTTCCAGGAGCACCGGGTACAGTGTGCAGCTGTCCACCGCAGAGGCACCGCCCAGCGCCCGGCGGAGGACAACGTCGGACCCAGGGGAAGAGGGTGAGTATGCTTTTGTTTGTCTCCGAAGGGGTGGCTTTTTCTCACTGGTGTCCTCAGAGCTACACAGAGGCTAGCAGTGGCCGTCAGGTTATACATCAGGCCCTATTCTCTGCGGAGGCTCTCCCCGGTCTTCCTGTCACCTGTGGACCAGGCCTGTCCTGCTCCTGCTTTGTCACACAGCTTCTCCCCGAAAGGGCTCCCTCCTCCTCGGACTGATAAATGGCATTAAACAAACACACGCAGCAGGTGCATTTCTTCTCCAGCATCTCCTCCCTGAAGCCTCCCTCTCCGGCACACCGGAGCCAATCACAGGCAGGATGTGTGTGCCACAGGCCTGCACGTTGTCGAGGATCCGACCCTGAACCTCAGAGAACCTGAAGGTCACTGTTTCCCCCTGAAACTCAAGGGAACCCATGGCTCCCCTCGACTGCTTCATGCTCTCACTGTCAGCAATTGCTACTGGCTTTGTTTGCAATTGTTTCTATCCACACAGAAACAGTGGCTTGTTCTTTTCAGGCTGAAAGTTACTGTGTACGTGACGCTGGGCAGCCCCCTACTTGCTGCCTCAGTCACCTCACACCGCACGGGAATCAGACACAGGTCCTGCAAGACTGCTGATCACTCCAGCCATGTCAGTAAGTGACGTTTGCTGAGTACACCTGTTGTTCTCGGCACTTTACCCACACCAGCTCCTCTGATCTTTGCAGCACCGCTAAGAAGGCGATCCTGACATTATTTCCGATTTACAGATGATGAAACCAAAGCACAGAGAGGTTAAGCAGCTTATCCAAGGTCACCCAGTGGGAGGCTAGAGCTGGAGATTGAACCCAGGTGGCCTGACTCTGGAGCCTGCTTCACCGCCAAGCGGTGCTACCTGGACTCTTCCAGACCCTTAGCACAGAGGACCATCTCCAATGGTCAACTCTGTGACACTTGAAAGTCACAAAGAACCTAATCCTAATGTCACATTTAGCTATTTTTAAAAAATATGTTTTTATTGATTTTTTAGAGAGAAAGGGAGAGAGAGAGAGAAACATCGATGTGAGAGAGATACACCCATCGACTGCCTCCTGCACGCCCCCCACTGGGGATGAAGCCCACAACCCGGGCATGTGCCCTGACCGGTAATGGAACTGGGACCTCTCAGTCCATAGGATGACACTCAATCCCCTGAGACACACCAGCCGGGCAAGCTGTTTTCTGTTTTTTTTTCAATATGAAGGCATTGTACTTGATACTAATTGCTGTAAATATCTGTAAAAAAAAAAAAAAACTAAAACTGCCCTGGCTGGTTTGCCTCAGCGGTTAGAGTGTCAGCCCACGGACCAGAGAGTCCTGGGTTCGGTTCCTGCTAAGGGCACGTACCTCAGTTGCATTTTGTCCCCGGCCCTGGTTGGTCGTGTGGGTGGCAGCCACTCGATGTGTTTCTCTCGCATTGATGTTTCTCTCTCTCTTCCTCCCTCTCTCTTTCCCTCTCTATCTTAAGATAAATGCAAAAATGTATTCGGGTGAGGAAAACAAAGAAACAAAAAACCCTAAAGTTGAATTTTTTAAACAAAAGCAACCTTGCCTGTTAGCTGCTTACTCTTTGAGACACAGAGACACACCTGTCCTCACACTGTGGGAGGGGTCTCCTTTCCAGGAGCTGTTAGATGTTGGGGTTAGAGAAAATGGAGTTCAGAGTGCCACCCGAGCAAAATGACAAAGGCCAGCAGTTTTTAAAATTCTGAGCTTGCTGCCCAGCCAGTGTGGCTCAGTGGATTGAGCATGGTCCCATGGACTGAGAGGTCCTGGTTCGATTCCCGGTCAGGGCACTTGCCCAGGTGCAGGCTTGATCCCCGGTAGGGGGCGTGCAGGAGGCAGCCGATCCCTGTTTCTCTTTCACATCAACGTTTCTCTCTCTCTCCCTCCCTCTCTTTAAAAAATAAAAATCAACAAAATTCTGAGCTTGCTAACAGCTGGTTTCACTTATAATGATTGTTTCATAACTTTACTTTTAAAATAAAATCTCACTGAACAGCCAGCCTCCAAGGCATACCTGGCCAGGAGCAGGTACAATGCTGGGCCCAGAATGAAGAGGCTCTGCTACCCTCTGTGGGCCTAACGTCCTCGGCCCCATTCCCACGCAGACAAGGTTCCTATAAACATATCTTTTGGGTGAAGCAGGACACACTGAGACAGTGCCTTCTCTGCATCTGGGTGACTTTCTGTTTATAATGACAGTAATAATAACAGTGACAGCAGTGGCAAATTCCTGTTCAGGGCGTCCTCCGCTCTAAGTATCTTCACATATTAGCTAATTTCATGGTCAGGGAACCGAGGCTGGAGGGAAGCAGCCCTCTCTGCAGGTATGGAGCAGGTATTTGAACCCAGGGGTCCGATCAGTCAGCATTCCTCCGGTAGTCCAGGCCCCAGGGAAAAGGACCCTTGACGGTCCGGTTCTCTGCTGCACCCCAGTCCCTGGAACGCAGTGGTAGCTCAATAGTTTGCTAAGCACACAAATGCTGTTCGATGGGAGCTGGCTGGGGAGAGTGGTTCCTCAGTGTCCCCTCACTAGGTGGGTGGACTCTCCCTTTGGGACAGGGGTGGGACAGGTCAGGCCTGTCACATGCACAAAGGGGGAGCTGGGGAGGTGGATGCAAGGTCCCAACTCCATTCAGTCCCCAGGGAGGTTGGGGGGCTGAGGGTCAGAGGTGGCCTCCACTCCTCCAGGTCCCTGCCTCCAGCCTGCCTCTCTCCCAGGCACCCACGCAACCCACCGGAGCCAACTCCCTCAGGTTTTCTGTCACCACACTGCTCCCCGCCCTGGGCTGCAAGCCACCGATCATCTCTCGAGTCCTCATGATTTTCCATTCCACCACCACTACCCTCACCATGGCCACCGCCCGGGCCACCCCTGCTTTTGATCTAGCTCCCTGCCTCTGCCTGGCCCTAACCCACTGCCCACTGCTCCGGGGCTGACATTCCTGCCACCTGCCCCAGCCACTCCAGGGGAAACCTGTCCCTCAGGCCCGCGGCCGGGCCTCTCACCACTGCTCCCAGCTCTTCCCACAGCCCCCCTCTACCCCCTCTACCCCCTCTACCCCCCTCTACCCCTCCCCGCACTGCTGACTGAGGCTCTGTCCTGCCCGGCGGGCTGCATCCTGGACCCGCTACCTGCCAGCAGAGCGACCCTGAGGCGGTTCCCTAACCTCCCGGTGCGTCAGTTTCCTCATCTGTAAAATGGAGATACCGACCTCTAAGGTCGCTGCGAGGGCCAAATACATGGATATCAAGTTAATTCTGTATGGATTCACAATTATTATTTGTATATCCAACCCTCTCATCCTGGAAGACCTCTCGTGATTTCTGCCTGGCTAAGTCCTATCCCTTCTTGAAAATGCACCTTGAGTGCCACCTCCTTTAGGAGGCCTTCCTGGCTCTCCCACCTCGCTCCCCCCCTCCCCCCGTGGGTCGGATGCTGGTCCGACCCCCTCTCAGCCCCGCTGCCCTGCTCTGCACTCAGCCGTCCCGCCGCCCGGCGCCCTGGCTGGCCAGTGGGCCTCCCAGGGCAGTGACCATGTAGCTGCCACAGCTGCCCCTTATCTGTGGTCATTGAGTCAGGTCTTGGGCGGGGTGGGAGTGGTCAGGGAGGACAGTGGGAAGAGTGATGAGGTAGCTTGAGGGGTGTGAGGTCACACGGTGGGCTGAGGACGTGGGCAGGGCCGTGGGCCAGGTCGAACAGGAAGGGGCCGAGAGAGTGTGTGGGCAGAGGGCCACGACATAAACAGTGTCGTTACCTGCTTTCTCGTCCGAGTCTTCCCCGTCCTCAACTTAATATAGCGTGCGATCAACTCATTCCGACCTGGATTGGGTGAGAGAGAACGAGGGGCTGGTGGCTGGAGGCTGGAGGCCACACCAGGCCCTCCGCCCTCTGCACTCACCCCCACCTCGGGGCACAAGCAGGGCAGCTCTGGGTGCCGGGGAGTCCCAGGTGCTCCCCCACCCCTGGGACCTGGGGCTGCTCACTAGGGAGGGAGTGAGCAGGGGCAGCGAGCAGGAAGAGGTGGGACAGTGTCAGGCTGGCAGGACAGGACAGACAGGGGCAGGTGTGGCCCCAGGGCAGCACGACAGCTGGGCCCCTTACTCCCAGCCCCCAGCAGAGTTTCCTTCCCCCAGGGCTTGTCACCAGCTGCAGATCTGAGTGATGTGTCCCCATGTGAGAGGCCTGGCCCAGGCGTAGATGGCTCCCGGGACGTTGTGTCTGAAAGAGCTCTGGACTGGGCTCTGTCTAGCTGTCTTTGCCATGATGGCAGACCCTGGACAGTCCCTCCCTTCTCTGCTAGAACAGTCCGGAAGGACCGGATGGTCTCCAGCACACCTCCTACATGATAGTCTGTGTCAAGATGTGTCACTGTGTCCTTGAGCCTGTCATCCCCATGTCACCGGTTACCAGTCTCTCCTACCCTAGAGAGCCCAACTAACTGTCAGCCTTGGGGTGGGGGCTCTGCTCAGCACCATGCACCCTGGGAGGGCCCAGAAGCTGGCCAGGGCCAGGGGGCTTGGCCCTAGGAGAGGGGTGCTTGGGACACATGGCTACTTGTATGCCAGCATCCTCAGGGTGGATACTCCTTACCCCCCAAATCCGGGCCCCCTGCCCCCTAAACTCACAGCCTCCCCAGAATGGCCACATTCTCCAAATTCCTCTTTGATGACAGAACCCAACCCACTGCTCCTCCCTTCCTGCCTGCCCCTCTCCACCCCACTCCCTCCGCCCCTCTAAAAGTACCCTGTGGGGCTGCCCGAGCCATCTGGGAGGTGGCAGTGGGGGCTGGCAGCCCACCCTATGGAAGGCACCCTGGAGCATCTGCCTGGCCTATGGTGGCACCCTGTGCAGGGGTGGGTGTGGCCAGTAGGTGGGGCAGGGCACACGCAGCCCTTAGCACTGGCCCGGCTGCCCTTCCTGCACCCACCATGGTTCTGGATGCTGGGAGGGGACAGGCTGAGGGCCTGCCTCACTCAGCTGTAGGCTGCCAGGGAGGGTTGGAGGGAGCTGGCAAAGAGCCAGGCCAAGAAGGGTTGAGTTATCCCAAAAATGCAGCTCTGGGAGAGCCCTCTCAGAGCTGGCCGAGAGGGGACACTCCCTTCTGGAGGCAGGAGGTGGGCAAGGTGGCAAAGAGAGGGGCCAGAGGAGAGGACTTGGGAGGGGTCTGAGGAATGACAAGTCTCTCCTGCCCTCTTCCCAGCACAGGCCCTGTCACAGTGTGGCTCCCCCCCCCCTGCCCCTCCCACTGGCCGGAGGGAACTGGAAAGTGGGAAACCCTGCTGTGTGCAGGGACTCCCGCCCTAGGCTCGCCCCTGGGGCTCCCCCACATCCTGCCGGGGAGGGACCCTCTCCCAGGCCTAGCCTGGAGCAGACTGGACTGACCCAGTTTCCTGGGTCCACTGAGTCACCCCGAAACCTCCAGACCAGCAGTGGGGAGGAGAGGAGAAGCAGATGGGGTGTCGAGGTGTGGGCCCAGCTCTGGTGGAGGGGCGAGCCCGGCTTGTTTACGAGGAGGATCCAGACACAGGCTTGCACGCACAGACTCGCCCGTGGCAGGCTGGCAGCTCTAGGACTTGGCCAAACCGGTTGGGTGAGGGGGCAGAGAGCAGGGGGAGGGGCCGGGAGGGCCTGGCTGCCTCCCCCCGTCCTGTCCAGCGTCCCTGTCCTCCCCACACGCACCGTACATCTTGCCCTCGTCCGACAGGATGATCTTGCGGCGGCCGCAGGGCGGGTAGATGGCCAGGGCCTCCTGGAAGCTCTGCTCGATGTCCGGGCTCCACACGCCCTCGGCATCGTTGTCCAGTCCCTTGTCCAGGCCCTCGGGCCCATCCTCCCGGGCTTCCCCCGGGCTGCTGCTGGCGTTCCAGCTGTTGGACGCTATTGTGCTGGTTACTCTGGCCTCTGGGCCGGAGCCCGCTGGGCAGCCTGAGCCTGGGGGAGAGGCAGAGGGTGAGCGCAGCGCTCCCCCACCTCAGGCAGGTGCTCTGGGCCGGGGAGGTAACCGGGGGTTAACTTATTCTGCTGTGCGGCCTTGGATGAATTACTTCACCTGCTCGACCCTGGTCCCGTAAAATGCGGAAAGGGTCTCCTTGAGGTTGTGAGGGTTGAAATTGAATGACAAGTGCCAACCACAGTGCCTGAGTCATAACACGACAGCACTGGCTGTGATGGCCCAAAGCAACGCCACACATCCACACAGCCCTCCTGGGGGAGGCGCCTTCACACACTCAGCCCTCTCTGAGGCAGGGAAGGCGAGGAGCCGGCCCTAGCAGGTGAGGAGAACGGAGGCTCACAAGGGCATGAGCTGTCAAAGGCAGCGTGGTGAGCAGGGAGAGGAGGGTCACCAGGCGCTGGGGCCAATGTCTGCAGCTCTCAGGGGGCTTTGGGATCCTCTGTAGCTCCTCCTCCTGTCATTGGGATCCCCACCTCCTTCCCTCCCCAGCATCAGCACATCCCCGCTGAGGACCTGCTGTGGGGTGAGGAGGGGTGAGGTTTTGCCTTCTCCAAGAGATAACTCTCAAGAACCCTGCCAAGGAACCTAAACATTGGGCAGGAAGTGTCCCAGGAATTGTAAGAGTCGCTGGCTGGCAAGAGAGCAGCTGAGAAGGTGCCTGGCCCACAGCCTCGCTCGCCCCACCCGCTCCTCCATTCCACTTCCTGCTCCCGCACCTCCAGGCCCACAGCAGCCCATAAACCACCCACATGCCCACCCTGCTCTGGCCCACATCGCGGATGGGCTGGAGCTCGGTCAACTCTGCAAACACCAAGCTGGGTTATTAATTTAGACCACACCCAGCCAGGCCTCCAACACGTGAAGCCCCAAGCCCCTCTTCCCCCATTAGCCTCAGAATCTGCATGCCCAATGTATACCAGGGTGCTGAGAGGCTCCGAGCCCAGGATGGCTGGATCCTTGGACTTTGCTCTGGGCCGCAGGGCAAGCAGGGGCAGGAAGGTGGGGGAGCCCCTCAGAAACCAGGGGAGGGAATTCTTTCCCTCAGACATGACTTCCAGGTCCTGCTGAATGGGTGGAGGGTCTCCCTGTGGGGTCACCTGTTTGCTTAGGAAGCTTGAAAGGGTGCTAGTGGCATGAGATGGGGAGGGCCTGGGGGCCTGCATGTCAGATAGATATAGAGTTTAGACTCGATATTACCACTGACGACAGCAACTACCAAAAGGCAGGCACTGTTCTGGTATGCTACACACACTGACTCATTTATTCTCACATAAACCTACGAGGCAGATACTATTATTAATCCCACTTTACATATGAGGAAACCAATGAACAGAGAGGTTAAGCAACTTGCTCAAGGACACACAGCTAGTAAGTGCGTGCTAGCGCAGGGTTCTGAACCCAGGCAACCTGGCTTCAGTCTCTCCACCAAGGAGGCTGAGAAGCACCACCACCTGTGCTAGAAAGGAAGCCAGGTTGTCGTGGCAACCACCCTGAGTGTGCCCAGTGGCATCCAGACAGGGAGCATCCCTTAGCCCAAGTGGCTGGAGCAACGTCAAGGACCCCACTGCTGCGGCAGCCCTTTCAGCGAGGACAGCCAGGCAGGAAGAGAACCACGCCCCGGACTGGTCAGGGGGCCACACACCTCTACGCCCGCCGCCTCTGCCCAGGAGCTGTGTCCCCATCACCATCCTCTCCTCATTCCCTGAAGCCAAGTTCTTGGAATAAAAATGTGGGGAACAGGGACTCTGGGGGACCCAGAGATTCCTATACTAAAGAAGTTGGAATATAGCCTTTCCCTGGTCTGACACTATTAGGAGCCAGAGGGAGGCAGAAGGGGCTATAGTGAGCTAAGACCCCTCCCAACAGAGTCCTCAACCCATTTCCCCCCCAATCCTTTCCTGTGGCCCCCCTCAGAGTAGTGGAGGCCCAGTGCATGGGGGCCTGGCAGCTGACTTTTCAAAGCAACTTTTCTGCCTCCCCCAAGTCTCTGTCGGCCTCCCCTCATCCAGGCGGTGGCCCCCCTTCTCAGGGTGATGTCAGCCCCGCCCCGCCCCCCGCAGGAGCACTGTGGCCAAATATGGCGAACACAGCAGCGCTTGGGAGCTGGGACAGACTGGGGGGGGATGGGGCGGCCCCTGGCTGGGACCGCTGGCAGCTGGTGAGGGGGAGGGGAGCGCAGGGGGTGGCTACAAGGACAGTCAAGGAGAGAAGAAGGACCACCACCCGGTCTCGTCCGCTGGCTCACGGGCACATGCAAGTCTTACTTTCTAGGAACACTGGTGTGGGCAGAGGCACCAACACAGGGGCGCACAGGTGACCCCCATGCCCACAGTCATGCACAGGAGCACACGGGTGCAGGTATGCTGTGTGGGTGCCAGGGTGACCCCCCAGCGAGAATCTGTGTACCCCCAGGCCGAGGCATATCCATGGGCAATGGTGGGCAGGCACTGCACCAGGCTGGGCACTGAGCTGGGATCTCACGCTCAGGAGGGTCCAGCTTGAGGAGTCTGGGTTGGCCGCTCTGGTCTTCCCAGAATTACTGCTGCAGGATGAGAACGGAGACCAGTGTGTGCCAACCTTCCCCTAAGACCTCCAAATCTCTGGGACCCCGCCCAGGGCTGAGAGAACGCTACAGGCTCCTCAGCTGCAGGCTGGACTGAGGCAAATGTGGGGGACCGGGAGGACTCTACAGGGGGTGTCTGGGGTGAGAGGGCAGGCCCCTGGGGTGGCAGCCTAGGGTCTCATGTCCCCTGTAGAGGGAGGGGCTGGGAGGTGTAACAGGTTCCCCACCCCCAGCCCCCAGCTCCTTGTTGACATTTGCCCAGGTGTTTAGAAGCTCGGCCTTGTTGGGCTTTGCTACCAAGAGATAAGAGAGGAAGAAAGACCCAAGTGACGCCCTGGCCGGTTTGGCTCAGTGGTTAGAGCATCGGCCTGTGGTCCAGAGAGACCCGGGTTTGGTTCCTGCTAAAGGCACGTACCTCGGTTGCAGTTTGTCCCCAGCCCTGGTTGGGTCGTGCGGGTGGCAACCACTCGATGTGTCCCTTTCACATCGATATTTCTTTCTCTCTCTCTCCCTCCCACTCTACCTGAATAGAAAATGGAAAAATGTCCTCAGGTGAGGATAAAAAAAAAAAAATATATATATATATATATATATATATATATATATATATATGACCCAAGTGAGGGACAAGGGGGTGGAGCTTGAGACAGACTGAAGGGGAAGGGGGAGACAGTCTGGGGCAGGACTGGAGGGTGGGGTAAAGAGAGGAGGGGGAGTTAAAGGGTCAGGAAGGTTAAAGATCAATAAACCAGATTCAGTCATGAAGGCAGGGAGGAGAGGGCAAGCCGGGATGGTGGTGAGAGGAGAGGAGAGGAGAGGAGGGGAGGGGAGGGGAGGGGAGGGGAGGGGGGGAGGGGAGGAGAGGGGAGGGGAGGGGAAGAGAAACAAATGACAGACTCAGAGGCCAGGGCGACTTAGAAAGAAGGGAAGCCAACGCTGGGGGCTGGGGTCAGCCACAAGGTCATGTTCAGGACATCCCCACTCTAGTCCCATCTGCTCCTCCCACAGATGACCTCACAGATGACCTCCCTCAGCAGAGGACCTGTTGTTACAATAGGCTGCGGACCTCTTGTAGTCTCATCTACCTTTACCCTCAGTCTGACCAGCCAGGGACCTCAGGCTTCAGAGGTCAGAAGGTGCCTCTGGGTGGTGGCAGGGATGGGAGCTAGGAGGCTGGGTGAGCAGGCTTTGGGGCCCTGGGGGAGATAAGGGCCACCTTGCTGCCCACTCCCTGCCTGGGGGCCAGGTCTGCTGGAATAACTGGCTGGACAGCTCCAGGGATGGAGGCCAGAGCTGGGGCTGCTGTAGAGGCTCTAGGCACCCCCCCTCCACGGGGCCCCTCCAGCCTCCAGACCGCCCTCCCTTTCAAGGTTAGGGGACAGGCCTGCAGCCGGGCTCCCCTAGAGCCCCACCCTGGTGGATGGGGATGCAGACAAGTCCAGGCAGGTATGCATCTACTCTTATCCCTCCCCCTGCACCAACCCCACTAGGAGGACAAACAGCCTGGTGACCCTACTGGGTCTAGTGGCCAGCAGCTGGCCCCCCTTGCGGGAACCACAGCACCTTAAAGTGTGGGAAGATTCTCGAAATCAGCAGTTCCATCCTGAATCCCACTCCAAACCTGGGCTGTGCTGGCTGGCCAGGGGGTTGAGGATGGGGAGGGCAGTTGATGAGGGCTAAGGGAGCCTCCCCACACCCTCAGCTTCCCCCCTTTCTCCCCAGCAGCCCCACAGGGAGGCCAGCTGTTCTCCAGCTGCCAGAGGCTCCCACCCTAGAAGTGGCCCTGCTCTAGTTGGGACCTGAGAGTGGAGAGAGATGGGGATGGTGTCTGCCTCCCCCAGCTCCAATCCAAGGACCCCCAAGGGACCCTGCCGAGTGGCCACACCCTCCAGGCTGGGGAGGGAGCACACTCCTCCCTGGAGCAGGGCTGAGATTTTTACAGGAGGAAGCAATTTGCAGTCAACTAGGAGGGAGGTGGGGCCTCCTCCCCTCTCCCCCGCTTATTAATGTGCTTCCAATTTGGGATCAAGACTCTGTGCGCGCACACAGACACACACACACACACACACACTACCCAAGGCAAAGGCTTCTCAAGGAGCAGAAGAACAGGGTAGCCCCCAGGCTCCCTTCTCCAAAGCCGGCCCCCACTGTCAGGCACCCCCTCCACAGCAGTGTAGGAGGTTGGGAGGGTAGAGACTCAGAGCCCTCAAGCCTCCTGCAGAGAGAAGAGCCCGTGCCCAGCCCTCCCTTCGCCCCCACCCTGAGACGCTGTCCTGTGTCCTCATCTTGTCCCACTCCGGCCAAGGCCGGGGA